CTTGCACATGTGCGCTTGATATGGACAAGTAAGTTGGAAGCAGATCATAGGCATGCTAGATTTGATAGCTACTCTAAATGTCACTAGGATGGATTATTTTATGATCTCAAAGATAAAAGTTAATTGTTTTCACTCACTGTTTATCTATAGGAGAATCATATTATGAATCACATACCTAGTAGCATAATGTTAGAGAATTTGGTATGAGTACCAGATGTACCACATGTGAACACACTTATTATAGAGATTGAGAATAATATATGAATTCCCTATTGATGCGTTAGCATCATCTACTATACAGATTCTTGCATCGGTACATTGATGTAGTGGGAGGATTATCATCCAATTCGACAGAATCATGTTTTTAGGTGAGACCATTATGGACATCCCTATTAACATGAGTTGGACCCAGTAAGCTACACGGAAGCGTGAACCGATGTGGATACAGATCGTTTTGGTGAGTTACTATGAAATCAGAGTTGGAATCTATGTATTCTAATAAATTCTGGGATCTTGTAGAACTTTCTAGTAGGGTGATTCCTATGGAAGGCAAGTTAATCTACAAAAAGATACCAGAAGATTTCTTAGTGAATAAATCATGAGTGTACAAGGGAATGTCATTATTTTTCTTAATTCTATATATTGATGACATCCTACTCATTTATAATGACGTGGAAGTTTTGTCATCAATTATAAGGTAGTTGTTCAATTACTTTTAAATGAAGGATTTTCAAGATGTAAGCTATATTCCTAGGATCAAGCTTTTGCAAGATCGGGTTAAAAGGAAAATAGGCTTATCTTAATAATCCTACATTGATAAAGTTTTGACCAGGTTTGGTATGCATAACTCAAAGAATGAGTTCTTGCTTTATTGATATGGATGGCTCTCTCTAGTAAGTAATTTTCAAGACTATCAAAGGAGATTGAGCAAATGAGACTGGAACAATATGTTTCGGCATATGAGAGTCTCATATATGCCATGGTCTATACCAAACAGGACATCCGCTACATGGTGGGGATAGTCAGTAGAGATCAGTCCAATACTGGACTTGACAACTGGTCTGTTGTGAAAAATATCATTAAGTACCTAAGGAGAATCAATGATATCATACTCATTTATGGATGTAAATGATATGGTCCTAGTCAGGTATGCTAGTTCTGATTTTCAATCAGAAGTAGATACTATGAGGTTCATGACTTAGTGTATGTTCACTTAATGGAAGGGAGATCAGTTGGTAGATTGTTAAGCAGATTTCAACTGCTGACTCAAACCTGTAGGTGGAATATATTGCAGCCTTAAAGGCGGCAAAGGAAGCCTATTAGTTTGATCTCACTGATTTAGAGGTTGTGGAGTATACTAGCCTGCCTATTGAGCTATGTTGTGACAATAGTGCAGAAGTAGTCCAAACCAATGACCCAAGGTTCCATAGAGGAACAAGATACACTGAGAGGAAGTATCATGTTCTACATGATATTGTCCGGCAAGAAAATGCACTTGTAGTTAGAACATTGCATTGGAACACAACTTTGTTGATCCATTATCAAAGGTGTCATTGATCAATAATTTTGATCATCATCTGGATAACATTGGAGTTAGGTGCAATTTGAATTGGCTATGAGGGCAAGTGGGAGCTGTTGGGATTTATATGCCCTGGCATAGCAAATTCCTATCTGGATTGTATTGACATATGTTCCTGACATATCTGAAATATTTATGATTTATATAATTGGTGAATTCAATGTATTATGTTTCGATTCACTATGAAATTGATAGTGTCCAGTTAATTACAAGAAATATTTATATATATGTATGTGATGACAATCAATGCATGATATATAAATAGTAATTATAAATTGTTCATAGTCGGTAATTATGGATGGACTCATAATTAATTAAGACTTGAACTGGATCCGCGTTAGGTTGAGATATATTGCGAGAGCCGTCGTATGCAATTACTCCCTATCACCGTCATGGCATTTGACTCTTAAGCATGAGAAAAGTATAGACTCTTTTATTAATTAATAATTACTTTGATTTGTTCGGCGGATTCTTCGGGATCCTTAGACCGACACTTTGGGTAGTTATGTAATTAATAGTTAGAGGGTTATATTTTCAATATTTGCATCATTGCTACTTGTATTTATTTTGTATTGATTATGGTTGATCACAAAGTAAATTCGAAGGCCTTCGTGTGTTTTTAGACAAAATGATTTATTATATATTTATTTATTTAAATTATTATTTTTGTCAAACAAATGTTTTATTGTGATCGAGCCAGAAATAATCAAAGGTACCAAAATAAATATATTAATTAAGTAGTCGGATTGATGGCTATATTTATCCGATAACTAATATGTATAGAGGGGTCAAAGTGCAATATTGACTTAGAGGTTATTTATTATTTAATTGGAGTTCAATTAATTTCTTTTAGTGGAGTAGAAATTAATTTATGAATTAATTGAATTGGGTCCATGGACTGGGCCAATTATTAATTCATTGTAGCCAATAAAATAATAGGCCCAATGGATTCTCACTCATAGCCCAACTTGATATTGGAATCATATTAGATTTGAGACATATGAATTAGAGATGGAGAAGGATTTGTTGTTTCCTTTTCTTTATTTTTATGTTGCCTATAAATATACATGGTCTATGTATATTTTAGGGGGTGATTTTTATGAAAAGAAAAAAAGGAATAAATTTTCTCTCTCTAGAAAATTAGGGTTTATGTTCTCATCTAATGGAGGCTCCCACAAGCCTAGTTTTCCAAGGTCATTCATGGGGGCATATGAGTGATTCCTAAAGGCAAAATAATTACCAAGAAGATGGAGATCCAAGGAGAAGGCATCTTGCTAAGGGATCTACAATAAGTGAGAACATTCACTTTAGAGGAAAGTTTTAAAGGTTTACTCAGACCTTTGATGTAAGTATTCAATCCATTAATTGAATGATACATCATATTTTTATTTTTGCATAAAACTTGTCTCTATGTGATGAATCAAGATCTATGAATCAAAATCCCTCGAAAAGTTTTTAAAAACTTGCACGTTTCCCAACAGACACGTGTATCCAAATCACAATGCTAGTCATGTGTGGAAAGAAAATAGGAAAGAAAGAATAAACTTTCTTTGTTTGGTAGAGAATAAACGAAAAAGGAAAGAATAATAGGAGGAATGTGTCATCTTTTATTGTTTACAAATTTTCATCTCTCCAAAAATCGGAAGGAGTGGAGGAAAGAAATTGTATTTCCTTCTTTCGTAACCAACGTAAGAAATTGTAACCATATAGCATCTTCATCCGAATTTTCAAATTTAACATGTCAAATTCATTTGAGATATGATGTAGCAAATTGACATGAAATTTGGGCATATCTATATAAAAGCAAATTTAACATGTCAAATTCATTTGAGATATGATGTAGCAAATTGACATGAAATTTGGGCATATCTATATAAAAAATCTCCACCCAATATGTCAAATTTATTAATTTATTAATATTTGGAAATATCTCTATTAATATTTTGGCATATCTTCATGCAAGTTTTAATGATATATGGATTCACCCATATATTAAAATAATAGAAATAATTCATTTGGCATACACCTTTTTGATATGCCAAATTTGACATATTTGATGATATGCCAAATTCTTCGTGCAAAAATTAGTTGTCGAATAAGCTACTTAGGATTTGACATATCGATTAGAGATGCTCTTATTATCTTTTCTTCCCTCCAACTGAACAAATAGAAAAAAATATACAATCTCTTCTCTAGAATGTCTCTCCACCCCTCTCATTCCCTCTCTCATTGAAGGAGACAATTTTCTATTAGTTTGGAAATTTAGATCAATTATTGGGGGTTCAATATTTTTAAATGTTCAGCTACTTTAGCAGTATTAAGGTGGCTTCTTCTAAACATACATTTTGACATTCCTAACTATGACTTGAAATTATGTTGCATGTGTATTAAGCTTGTGAAGGGACTTTTTTCGTAACTAACATTGAGATAAAATTTACATTGAGATTTGGATTTTCAAAAATCAATAAATTTGAAATGAAATCCCAATTTTAGTTTTGAAACAAATTGAAACTCAAGACAATTCAATATGGTAGAATAAAACTAGCTAAATTGGCTTACGTGAACAATTTACAAATTGCATGAAATTTTATTAATTTTTTATGTGATTTCAAAATATACCACATAACGTTTGTTACTTTGAAAAATCTTAGTTTAAAATTTAAATATCTTCAAATCTTTCCATTTCAAACACAATCTTCTATTATTAGAATTAAAATTCCTATAAAATTAAAAGGGTAAATTACATTAACATCTCTTAAGATTTGAACAAATTACACAAGATATACCATACATAGTTTATCATTTTGACCTTCCCTAAATATGTCTGTAGCGGTCAGAAAGTGACTTTAAGTGTAAAAAATTGACAATGCATTAATTTTCATACAAGAAATGGCAAGGTTTTCATATAAGGAAAAAAATAAAATTGTCATTTTATAAAATTTGGTCTAACAGGTTTATCGAAAATAAAACATTATGAGTGTCACATGGGTAAAATTTTAGAAGAGGTCAAACCAATAAATGTTGAACATTTTATTCGTGTGTAACTTGTCCAAATCTCAAGGGAGTTTAGTATTGTAATTTAATTAAATATAAATTAAGAATATTGCACTCACCTCTCCTAAAATATAGCATAATTACACACACTTACCTCTCTTGATTGATTCAAAAAATTTAGGGTGGACAATTTTACTTTTTTGGTCCATTATATTATTTTATTTGAAAAGTCGCGATAAAGTGAAAAAGATAAGAGTAAAAATATATTGTACAATTTTTTACTTTATGATGAAAAGATAAGAGTAAATCAACTTGTGGTAACTTTTTACTTTATTGTTGGCGTGGCGGTGGCGGTGAGTAATGTGACACTAAATTAAAATTTGAAGATAAAACTTAGAAATAAGAAGATTTTTTGTTGGGATGCGTATGAATGCTCATAGCGCATATTAGTAAGCGCCGTCAATACTCTATATAAATTGGGGGCGGTTGTTTTCCGTGGTGGTCGGAGATTTGGTGCAATTACAGCGTGTACGGAACTGAACTTTTGCTTCGCTGTATCAAGAAATCATCATCATCATCATCATCATCATCATCATCATCATCAAGAACCAACAACAATACATATACATCATCTATAATAAACACTTTCTTTTTCTTTCGCATCTTTTCTACCAGACCTGAATTCTCGAATCGGGTCTTCGGCAATTCAATCGCCATGTCTTACGCTTACCTCTTCAAGTACATCGTCATCGGTGATACCGGTAACTATGCACACATATACATATACATGTTTATATTGTTAAAACTGATATTCTTTGAATTATTACGTTCTTGATGTTTGATTTTATTTTTGATTTCTTCTATTAATCCATCTACTCTTGTTCGTGATCAAGAGAGCACCGATTCGTTTTGAATTATGTATTTTGTTATTGTCTGTTCATTTCATTTTCTGTCGGTGGGTATATACTAAGATGTGCTTCTTGTAGAATTGGAATGTTCTTTTTGAATCTGGGCAGGTGTTTGATATAGATTTGATTTTTGAGGGTTCATTTTATTTTCAAGAAGATTTGGATGTGTAGTCATGTTTGTATTGCTTAGAGTTTAGATTACGTTTATGCTCATCTTACCTTCCATATTCAAGCGATTGGACAAATAGATCACTGGACTATGATCTTTCCACATTTGTGTCCTAATGTGATTGTATAATACTCTGGTATATGATTGGGGATCATCTGCTGTAATTTTTGGTGTTGTAGGTTTTTCAACACCATTACATCTATTGATTTCAACCATTTACATCTATTGATTTCAACCATATTTAATGTGTTGAAAAACAAATGTAATGTGTTGAAAATCAATGTGTTGAAAAGCAGATGTAATGTGTTGAAAAATATATAGCATCACTACAACAGGGGGTTACAGCGGGGGATCCAGGCTCCTGAAATATATGATAGACTGATAGTGGATCAGATTTTGCTTTATGTGGTTATTTCTTTCTATCAAGTTTTTTAGTGTTTCAATTTCCCAAAAAAGAAGAAGTTGTTTTGTGTTTGTAGAATCAATTTCCAACTTTTTTTTTTTCTTTTGTTATACCTGCATTTTTTTTTTTTTTTTTTCCGGCAGACGATCTGGAATTGTTTGATGTAAAATGTGCGTCTTCAGGCAATGTTTTTCTAATTATTATAATTCAATTTTTTTTTTTAACTCTGATTTTCTCTTTTCTATTTGCTATGATTGTATGGACTTCTACAAATGTGAGGGTGATTGAAATGATAAGGTTTGCCAATCTAGCACGTTGGTACATTTATCCTATTTATAATTAACTTACAGAGAAAAACAGAGGGCAATTTATATCTATCAAAACTAGCAATATGGTGAATTTTTGCTACAGCATGTGACGATGAAAAACCTAAATAGATGAATCATTTGGGTGGATAAGAAACATGGATATATCTTTCCTAATAGGTGCACCAATTATACATGAGCATCTTTTCAACAGAAAATTGGTCAGCTCAGAAATGTCCAAACTGGGTTCCAGTGAATTGTGATTGAAAGTTGAAACACACTGATGCATGCAAAAGAATGTTGAACTTTGTTGGTTAACCTTATTTTGCCCCTTATATGTTGTACCCATAAAGGCTCATGGCCAAAAATTGGATCTAAGAATTAGTGATCCAAACTAAGAAATAAATTTTTAGAAAGATTGTGAGTAGTGGTTGTGAATGATAAGGTGTTTTGTTTTAATCATCGGAAATGTTGCTGGCTTGAGAACAATGGGTCACTTCAACACAAAAGAGGTGCAAATCTGCAAATTGGCAAAATATTCCTCGTTTAAACTTTTCTTATCTGGTTGGAGAGGGGAAAAGGTTTCACTATCTATAATTGATTTCAAGCCTAAGGTTATTTTTTCATTACATTGTATGGCATGAAATAGTGAAATACTGTTTGGTGTGCAAGTAAAATCTTATGGTTGATGGAATATTAGGTCTGATGTTGTTAGTAACTAAAACGTAATAAGCTTTTTTGCATTTGGGAGAGGGGAAGAGGTTTCTCAATCTTTAATTGATTGCAAGCATAAGGTAAAATCTTATGGTTGATGGAGTATTAGGTCTGATGTTGTTAGTAACTAAAACATAATAAGTTTTTTGCATTTGGCCGGCTGGAGAGGGGAAGAGGTTTCTCAATCTTTAATTGATTGCAAGCATAAGGTAATTTTTTTCATTACATTTTATGACATGGAATATTTTTTGGTGGTGACATGTAAAATCTTATGCTTTGATGGAATCTTAGGTCTGATGTTGTTAGCAAGTAAAATGTAATAAGTTTTTGCATTTGGCCCTATGACCTTATCCTAGGACTATGACAAAATTTGAACTTCAAATTTTGTTAAAGGCAAACCTTTTGCTTTCCCTTTTTTGACGCTTCGCTGTGGACCAATTTTCATGCTATTCCTTCTAAGGAAATTGCTATTTATGTTATTCTGTATTGTTTTGGTTTTCTATCAAAGACCCATTATAAAAAAGAGATGGTGCAATATATGCATGTTTTGATCCTTTCTTCTTCAGGGGTTGGGAAATCATGTCTTCTTCTTCAATTTACTGACAAGCGTTTCCAGCCAGTGCATGATTTAACCATTGGTGTTGAATTTGGTGCCAGGATGATTACGGTTGACAACAAACCCATTAAGCTGCAAATATGGGACACGGTTTGTCTTCTCTTCTCTATAATTGCAATTTTGAAACACCAATGTTTCTATAAAAGTTCTCTGGTTTAAATTAAATCTAACGCATTAGGTTCAGTTTGGTTGCTTATGGTTGATTCTAAGTTTTGTCATTCTCAAATGTAAATTCATCTATAACTATCTTGGTTGTGAAATATTCACCATGTTCTAACAGGCATTTTTTTAGTTATTATATGCTTGACATCTTTTAATTCCATTCAGATTTTCTTATGTGGTGAAGATGATTGAGCTATAAAATTGCATTTCAGAATTACCTTGATCGTTTTCTTCATGCTAAATCATCATGATCCATGCCTCTCCTGGATTATTGTTTTCACCTGCTTCCATTTCCTTGCTATGTCTATTCTACTCACATGCCTCATGCTTTTAAAGCCACAAGTTTCTCTTCATCCACAAAAATAACTATAATGTAAAATCCACTATGCATGGGAACTTTGCACATGTTTTTTGCCTTTGTGTGGCACCAACTAATGACGTTCAATATGCTTGGGTGACATAAGATTATAGCCCTTGTATATTTATAAATTTAATGGCTCCCGTTTGTATTATATTTTACCACTTCTATTTTTTTATTTTTTTCTGTTTTTCCAAAGTTTTTTTTTTTTTTTTTATACCCAAAATCTGAATTATGTGATAATGTAGGATTGCCGATTCATCTTTTTGCTCCATGTGTAGTACATGATCAACTCAATTTAAGTCTTGTAGGGATGAGGAATAGGTAGACGCTGCTTATTATAATGGATAAATGTGAGTGACTGTCTATAATTTGTTGCAACGTGGTCATTTTCCCTGTATCAAATTCTGCCTAGATGATATTGTATTTCTATGCTTCATTTTCTATATTATTTATTTGTAATCATGCGATTTTCCTCCGATATTTGATTTCATTGCTGAGATATTGTATAATTACTCAATCTCGTAACTATTGCTCATAGAAGTTTATGCTGAAGGTTCCATTATAAATGTCAGGCTGGTCAAGAATCCTTTAGATCTATCACAAGGTCCTATTATAGAGGGGCTGCTGGTGCACTGCTAGTCTATGACATCACCAGGTTTACTTTCTATTCTTGCGTGTAATGTATTATGGTTGAGTAAATTCCATAGTTTGGCAAATTCTTGATTGACTTGGGATACCTTTGATCTTAATATATGGCCAAATCATAACACACCTCGGTAGACATTGCACTATCACATTATCATGGATTTGGACTAGACAAGAGGATCCAAGTAGCGAGATTGTGACATCAAAATACTATATAATTCACATGGGGTAGGGGGTCAAAGAGGCTTGCGGTTTTACAGGCCTAAGCATGTCAACTCTGAGGCAACCTTAAGTGGCTGAGGTGAGGTTGATTGGCATTGATGTTGTCAAATAATTACAACATTATGTCAATCGCTGGTAACATTAGTATAGCTCTTGCCAACTCAGTCTACCAGGAAACTTAAAACACATGACCAAATTATGATGTCCCACGATCATGTAATTATTGTGAATTCAACATGGGAATCACATGGTGTCAAGATTATTGTGAGTAGATAGAGGGAGGGGGCACAAAGGTGGGAGTGTAGGCTTATAAACAATTTACGTCAATGCTTGTGAGTGGATGGCTCTTGTACGATGTGAGTCATTCCATCATTGTCGAACAAGATGCGTTGATGGTAGTATTGGTATTAGGAGGGAAACATTCCAAGAGAAAGATCTGTATCTTCTCTCTCCTTCCTCTAAATCTCCATGGCCATTTTGAGGCTCCTCCTTGTCCCTCTCAGTTAGGCTTAGGTCCTCTACCTCCACTCTCCAGCCACTATTCATCCTCACTTGACTTTCAGGATATCGTCGAATAGTTTGCTCATCTTTGCGACATTGTTGTTGAATGTCAATAAGACGCCATTTTGAGATCCAGACCTTGTCATCTGATTTAAGATATACAGATATTTTCAAGACCCTTGGCATAGAAAACTACCAATTTTTCCGCGCAACTATACCTGATGGCTTTTTTGAAGTCTCCTAGAGTCCATGTTTTTCCCTGAGTAAAACCAATATTGTCAAAGATATGCAGCAATAGGCAAGTGCTCATGGCAATTTCTTTATGTGGTGAGGTGAGGTCTCATGAAAGTAGTTGCATGATGAACTAAGTGAATGTCTCAGCCTGACTCAAAGAAATTAGTTAAGTGCCATACAGGAGTGAATACAAAACATGGAATTTTTAATGTATACATATGTTCCGTATCATGTACTTTTAGCTATTTTGTTGTCATTTTTATAACAGGGTCAAAATAGCGTCTGGGATGTTAAAATGATTTTAGTTGTTTAATTCTTTTAGGAGGGAAACCTTCAACCATTTGGCTAGCTGGCTGGAAGATGCAAGGCAGCATGCAAATGCAAACATGACGATCATGCTCATTGGTAATAAGTGTGATCTTGCTCACAGAAGGGCTGTGAGCACAGAGGAAGGTGAGCAGTTTGCCAAGGAGCATGGGTTGATCTTCATGGAAGCGTCAGCAAAAACGGCTCAGAACGTTGAGGAGGTGATTAAACTTCAATTATTCTGGAGAAAATTTTCCTGATAGAAATCTGTTTTTTTCAGCATTTATGGAACTGAGTATTGGCTTATTTTCCCACAGTTTTCTCATTCATAAGAAGTTTTTTGTAGGCATTCATAAAAACAGCTGCAACAATATACAAAAAGATTCAGGATGGAGTTTTTGATGTTTCAAATGAGGTAATGAAGTTCAACTTCTTTTTTTGTACATATATTTTTTTTTTCCTGTTTTACTTGTGGTATATTTAACTGTCTGGAAATTAATTTAAAGTTTTCACTTTGGTTCTATTTGTTGCAGTATGTGTAATGTCTCAGATTGTGAAATCTGTTGTTTGATTGCTATCGTGAAAATCATAATGATTTATATATTTTAGTGAGAATGGTTTACATTTTGGTGAGAATGGTTTACATTACTTTTAGAATTTGGAATATGGTGAAAAATGGTCACAAATACCACTGCCAAAATTGTGCTTATTTTGTATCCACTGCTTTTGGTTTTGGAGTTGACCTCCATAATTTTTAATCTTTTTCTTTAAAAAATCAAGACCAAATACCTTCACCGCCCTAGTTAGATAGGAAGGCAAATAATTTAGTTCCCCTCGATCAATTTTCCTCCTGACCTGTATGTATGTGCACTTTTAGAAGAACTCTAGGCACTTTTACTGCTGTGATTAATTTAGAGCTGGTAACAGTGCCACTGATACTTTACTTTTATTGCTCTCTTTTTGCAGTCATATGGAATAAAAGTTGGTTATGGTGGAATCCCAGGGCCGTCTGGAGCAAGGGATGGCTCTTCTTCTCAAGCTGGAGGCTGCTGCAGTTGAGATTTACTTGTAGAGTGAATGAAATTACTGTGTGTTACTGTCATTTGGTTGTGAAACTGTTGCCACTGGATGCACAATATGTGGACAAGCAAAAATATTGATATATTTGTATAATCTTGGTTTCTTTTCTATTTGTTGATTGTAAATGTGACTGTGATCTTAGATACATTCATTGGTATTTGGTAGTTGTATTGGAAGGGAATGTCAAGTTTGAAAACCCATGTCCTGGTTTATGATCAACATAATTGCAGTACTTTATATCTACATGGCAGCTAACTTGGGTGGTAAATATTTGTTAGGTATACGTTTTAGCGTATGTATGGGTTTCTTAAAACACAGTTTGTGGTTTTCGTTACTGCAAGGCCCCTTATTCCTCTTCAGTAACCAAGGGACTTGGTAAACCGTTGATCTTGCCATATGTAGTGATCTCACCATGGATGATGACATGGCAAGGTAAAGGTCACCGTGGTTCCGGGACCATTGGTTATGCAAGCAAAAATAAAAAGCTCAATAAAACTTTAAAAGTTATTACATAGGTCCAGAATTACCGTTAGACACGTAAACATGCATTAGAAATATGTAAACTTTATTCAGTTTTTACTTATTTTCCTCTAAAAATTTCTTATAAAACTTAAACATTTTATTTCCTATAAAACTTGCACATTTTTTACATGTCCTGCGTGTTCCATGATGAAACATGTCCTGCGTGTTAGATGATGATTTTCTCCATGGTCAATACTGCATATCCTGTTATTAAAAAGCTGGTCCACTCTAAATATTAAGGATTTTATGGATCACCAAATCATGGACAAGTTCGAAGATGTTTAAATATCAAGGTGTAGCATAAATGTATATAAATGCATTAATCAGGTGAAGAATAATACAAATGTTATGCATACACAAGCCTTCATAAATTTGTACTGAATTATGACGAATACAATAATACAAAAGAATTAGCATTACAACACACGTTATATGGGTTGTTCACAATTTTTTTTTAAAATTAGTGAAATTAAAAATTGGTGAGTGCGAAAGTTCTTATTAAGATAACTAGAATAACCCAACCGTTAGATTACAAATGTGAGATATGTTTGCTAGTTTATTAATAACTATCAATTTGAGTAAAATATGAATTAGAGTGATGATATAGACTTCCACCGTCGACAATTACACTATTTTTAAATGAGTGATAACTGTTGAAAGTTTCATAACTAATATCTTCGTGTTCAGATGTACGATCACATATCATTCTCTTATAATTTATTTTCTAAATGATCAAATCTTTTCTATTTTAAAAAATATGTATGATGTCCATAAAGAAAACACTAGTAACTCTTCAATTGAGTGAAATATTGTTTATTTTCTAAAAAATAAAATCTTTCCTATTTTTGACATTTTTAGTGAAAGCCAACCAAAAAAAAAAAAAATGAAATGGAGAATTTTAATTATGTAAATTAATAATTTTTTTCCCAATCTTTTTAACATAAAACAGCATGCAAAAAATGATTGATTTAAGACAATTTTATTTACATTTTTTATAAATACAAATAATAAAGTTTTAAATTTTTTTTTTTTTGACATGATAAAACACTTTTTCTAATTTTATTTTTATTCTTATAATACCAAATGCATATAGTTTCACTCTCAAATCACATAATCACATCAAATTTTCTACTCACTTTCAGCAATGTTTTATTCTCGTCTCTCCGCCACTTTGTGTGCGACGTCTGTTCAGTCCAACGCAACGGTCCCACTCCCACCTTCTCTAATCTTAACATCTTATATAATCTGATACACACATTACGTTACTGATTGCACACAACTATATATGTATAACTATATATATATATATTCTTACTATCTCACTGTATTCACTTTTGAGTCATCTAGAAAGAGGGTCTGGCAAGGGGTGTTTGTTTGATGTGTGAAATTCATCGGATCTCAATAATCCAACCATCATCATATCGGAGCAATCTTTCAACTCTTAACACTTCGACTTCTCTGTTTGATCCTACTTTAATCAAACTTATTTTTTTTGGGGTGTAAATCGACCGAACACACCTTCTCTTCTCTTCTCTTCTCTTCTCTTCAATGGCGTCTCCTGGAAATCCACCAAATCAACAACCCTTCGACATGCACAAACTCTTCAAACCCTCCTCTTCTCCTCCTCCTCCCCCTCCACCCATCTCCAATACGTCGCCGTTTCCCCCATCTTCCTCCTCTTCCTCGGCTTCGTATCCACCTCCACCCACCACCACCTACTCCTACCCTCCTCAGTCACCTCCACCGCCATTTCACCTCTACTCACCAATCTTATCAGACCAGCACCAGAGGACCATCTCTTATCCCACTCCTAATCTCCCCCCACCAAACCCTAATCCGGGTGGTGCTCGATTGATGGCACTTCTGGGTTCAAAACCCACTTCCAATCTCGATCCGTCGCAGCCCAATTTGCCGTTCCCGTCACCGTCGTCGTCCGGTGCAGGAGGTACAGGACCGGAATTTTCGTTGCCGGTAAGCACCCCTGTTTTTCCCTCAGCCCCGCCGGCCGGTTTCTCAACTCCTCAGCCGACCCCCATGCGGTTCCCAAGTAGCAAACTTCCGAAAGGACGACACTTGATTGGCAACCATGTTGTGTACGACCTAGATGTCAGATTGCCCGGTGAGTTTCAGCCCCAACTGGAAGTTACTCCGATTACGAAGTACATTTCCGATCCCGGGCTTGTCGTTGGCCGTCAGATTGCGGTCAATGGGACTTATATATGCTACGGATTGAAGATGGGTAATATTCGGGTGCTTAATATAAATACTGCATTGAGATCTTTGCTTCGAGGACACACTCAGGTTGGTTGCCTTCCAACTCGTCTGTATTAGTATTCGTATTTGCTACTTATTGTGTTATGTGAATTTTAAATTCCATTGCTATTGCTTTATATTTTTATTGTCACTGGTATTTCCAGTTAATTGAACTGGGTTTCACTCCGTTTTAGTCAGAATGTAAGTTTTCATGTTGTTTACCTTATAGGCATTAAAACCTTACAAATTGCAATATAAGAGCTTTTGATTGATTCACATGCATGGAAATTGTTCATATTTATTTTGGATCAACAAGTGAAGGAAATATCTCAACATTTTTTTGTTTACTTTCTTATTTTTGAGAAAAATAAAGTTTGCTTGTCCCATGGGACAATGCTTGAACAAGATGTTTCTACTAGTTATTCTCTAAGCTACATACAGATTATTATTGCATAGCAATGGGAAGCATGTAAAATTTTAAAACCGTAGATGAAATCTAAAAGTATGTGTTTTGAAACAAGGAGACATGGTTAAAGTGTTGCAAACTTCAGAAAGGACCTAAGGATCTCTTATGTGCATGGACAAGAATACATTATGGGACAGGTTTATGATAGTGCCTCTTCTAATGTCAGGTAACTTGAATTAAACCTTGCCAATCTAGCATCACTTTTTTATTAGCGCCAGCTTTATAGCTGGTCCATCATTTATTAATCACATCTTGCCATCACAAATCGCCCATCAACATCAGAAAAGGATCTAGACTTGTCACGTCACAGGATTCATATAATAAATAAACCACAAGTTCCTTTTGTTAATTCTTTGAGTTGTCTTTTTGAAATCTAGTTCCTCAGACCATAAAATATTTCTTAAGCTATGTTTGGGAGTATGGAATCGGCACCTTGGAATTAGATTTGAAGGATTGAAGACTAATATTCCTCTAATTTGAATTTTGTGGTGCAAATTCCATGCTCCAAATGCAATGTTAGAACATTTGGAATAAAAGGACTGCCAATGGTTTATATTTATGAACCCTAGCAGATTTCTTCTCCTTCGGTTCCTAATATGGTAAAACTGACCATTAGATAGTTGATCCCAACACCCACATCCATAATTCTAACAGCAAGGTAGCAATTTCTAATGGATAAATTTTGTCAAAGTACTATGTTAGTTATTGCAGCAGGCAAGTATCCTAAGGCAGCAAATAACAACTATATATTTGTAAATTTGTACAAAATGGATAGGATTGTAATTCTAGAAGTGTTCGGTTTCTTCCTCTCTGTCTCTCCCCCTCAGTTCTGGTATTGGATACGTATAGGTAGATATTGAGATGCTTAAATTTCAATAGTTTGGTTTCACAACATTGCATGGGAGTGATAATAACTGAGACAATGAATACTAAATGGGTTAAGTAGCTCATATGGTGAAGGTTTTTTTCGCCTTTGTTTTTCCTAATTTATGTATTGAGTGTCTCAGTGAATTTGCGGTAAATTGAGTCTGTTCACTGTTAGATGAAGCTTATCAAATCTAACATGTCCATTCTAGATATTCAGCTCTGCAACTGGCAATGCTTTAAACACTCAGATTTTAAACAGTATCTTGTTGCTTTTGGGTTCTCTTTATGCCTTGTAACACTGTAAACTTTGCAAGTCCTATCGCAGTGTATTTCATCCAAAACTGCATCCTTACTGTTTCCCTCATAATTTTGTCAGTCGCTTGGTCTCTTTTCTGTGATAACAATCATTTGATATCCCCCTTCTGTTTTCTTCTTTATGGAATGTGTAGGAAGCAATTGTTTTGGTAGGTTGATAGTAGTCTGCTCTAGTAATTGTTGCAGGTTACGTTTAATAAGATGCAGAAAAAAAAAAAAAAATCTTTACATTGGGTCTTCATATTAAGTTAAACAGTTTAAACGAGTCTCTCATTTATGCATGTTCTTTCTCCATGCAGAGAGTATCAGATATGGCATTCTTTGCAGAAGATGTTCACCTTTTGGCCAGGTAGTTTATTTCTTCTTCTATGTCACCTCCTCCTTTATTCATTTGAATACTCGAACTTGCACTTTGGCAGTGCCCTTAAATGGAATGGAAAATTAGAATTCATGCAGCCGACCCCAGATAGTGGGGAAAAAGCTCTGTTGAATTTGTTGAGTTGTTAATTTTAACTTGCATGTTCTGCAGTGCTAGTATTGATCGACGGGTTTTCATATGGAAGATTAATGAATGCTCTGATGAGGAAGAAAAGCCTCAAATTACTGGAAAAATTGTTATTGCCCTTCAGATAGAAGGAGAAGGGGACTCAATGCATCCACGGGTTTGTTGGCATTGTCACAAACAGGTAACATGTTTTTATTTTCTGCTAATTATTCTTTTATGTATTTTACTTTTTATTTAATAGGTTGAATTATTTGTATTGTTTAGTAATATTTACCAAGTAATTGATATGCCAAAACTATTACAGGAAATTTTGGTTGTAGCCATTGGAAATCATATCCTGAAAATTGATACCACGAAAGTTAGAAAAGGTGAAGAGTTTTCAGCAGAGACACCTCTTAAATGTCCCATTGACAAGCTGATTGATGGGGTTCAGCTTGTTGGTAAGCACAATGGCGAAGTTACTGAATTGTCAATGTGCCAATGGATGACTACCCGTTTAGCTTCAGCTTCAACAGATGGCACGGTTTGTGTTATTTTGTTCTTGGTTTTTTGAGTTCCATCCAGGGCTTTGAACTGTTCAGATTATTCTGGTTACTCAATTAAGCATTGTTGTTGTGATGAAAAAAAAAAAAAAAAAAGCATTGTTGATTCTTTTATGTTTAATTTGGCAAAAAAACCCTTGCAGATTCTTAAAAGGTGCAAGTACTCCCGTCTTGTCAAACTTTTTAATGGGAATTTCTCACATGCGGCACACATGATATCTATTTAGAGTATAATGACTATGCCCTTTAGGTAACCAACCCTTGTGTAATATTTGACCCATACAACCAGAGTTGGATTATAATTATAATCTGTTTTTGCAAACAGTTATATTTAATGAGAACAAAATTAGGGTTTCAAACCCCCCTTTTCTGTAAAAGTGGTCAAACATGAACTGTAAAAAGATCTAGACACTGACCTGCAGCACACATCATCACCTCTTCATCATTTTCCCAAATGAAATAGAAGTAACCTCAAAACGAGTCAAAAGGCAGTGTTAAGCATTCACAACCTGTTTCCTAACCCATAAACTAGTATATTTATAGGTGCATATACATACAAACATGAGTAGTTGTATTTTAAATTTGAAGCTCTTTCATGGATTTCAAGCACCACCTCACCATGAACTCCGGCCACCATCTCTTTTTATTACCTTATTTTCTTTAGGAATATATATATATATATATATATATATATATATAAAGTATGTGTGTGTGTATAATAATCCACCATCCATCCTCCGTTATCACCCAAACCTCATGGTCCCCATCTAAATCAAAATTTTCTAGGTGACCCTTCACTGCCACCTTGGTCCCCATCTTAATTGCTTTATGTAACCCAATTGATTGCTTTTAGATGTAGAGGTCTACCTCATTTGGGTTTGCAGGGGAAGGTCCAATAGAGCCTATAAATAAGAAGGAAAAGGGCGCAAGTGATGATGTAGGGGGATCCAAGGATGCACATACCACACCAGTGATGATGTAGGGGGATCCAAGGATGCACGTACCAGTGATGCTAAGTCCTCTTAAAATCATTAGGAAAAAGAACATTGGCATGTTGCTTATCAAAACAAAACAAAAAAAGAACATTGGCATGTCTACACTGAATTTTGGATCCTTTTCTCAACCACCAACAACTTATCCCCACCCGAATTAGTTACAGAATTACAGATATAATATATACGCACATAATGATAAATGAACATAGCTGTATTTGTCTGTCTTATTATAGAATCTTTCTCACAATATGAAATTCCAATTTTTTCCATAAACTAGTTACCAGAATATTCCACACCTCAGTTTTTCTCCATGAGATACTTAACATGCCACCATAATTCACAATGACAATAAATTGAAGGTAAAACAAGGGGGACCGTATAGGAGTGTAAAGGAGGGACCAAACTATAGGAGTGTAAAGGAGGGGACTGTTGGTTGTGTACGTAAAACCTTAGGCAAAACGGTACCATATTGTTTATTTATTTTTCTTCATACTATAAGGGATATTGTAATTTTGAGTGGCCATTAACACCAAGTAACAAATTACCCATTTATGCTAACTTTTAAAAATTTGGGGCTTTTCTGTTCCATCAAGGGGGGTGTTTGTAGAATCTCGGTAGTTAAACGGGGCTTTTTGCATTTTCCCTTGAATATAAGAATTGTTAGAATTACATGTTACATATCTAAGATTTTATTATATCACATATATAAGGGTGTATATGTCCCTGGTTGATTGTCCAAATTGGCCTACTTAAACTTGGACCTGGTTACAAGAATCCACTATACAGAATGTTTGGATCTGGAATTTTTGGCCAAAATTTTTGTCCAAATGTGGCTTGATTTGGGTAGGACATGATTGGTTGCATAAATTATTACTGCCACTTATGGTGGATGGGATTTTCTATCATGCGGCAATGGGTAAGGCAATTAAAAAGCATGCCCATGGTTGATTGGTTGTTATGGTCATTTTTGTGCCTTGGAAAGATCCTTATCTGTGATGTGAGGTCAGTTTTTCACAGGATTTGGTGCTAGGATATGATAATACATACAGCCTGGGAAAAAATTTCATTAATCTTTTTTGTTGTAGGGTTAACTCATTAACCATTTATCTTCTCCAACAGGTGAAAATATGGGAAGATCGTAAAGCAGTTCCCCTTGCAGTATTGAGGCCACATGATGATCAACCTGTTAATTCTGTTACCTTCTTGACTTCTCCTCACCGACCTGATCACATTGTTCTTATAACGGCGGTATTTGCTTCAAACTCATTTTTTATGGAATATACTTTGTGACCATGCCAGTGTTTTAGTCTATTGAATAGTTGGTTGAGCAATTTGTTTCTTGTCAACTGTATATTACATTGATATGGTAGCATATGTTATGTTTGTTTGTTTTTCTTCTTTCTTCCAAAATTATTCAATTTTTTCCTTTATATATATATATATATATATATATATATATATATTTGCAGGGACCACTTAATCGGGAAATAAAAATATGGACCTCAGCACATGAAGAAGGCTGGTTACTGCCTAGTGATGCTGAATCGTGGCAGTGTACTCAGACTTTGGAATTGAGGAGTTCTAATGCATCCAAGATCGAGGATGCATTCTTTAACCAAGTTGTAGCCTTGCCCCAATCAGGCCTTCTTTTGCTTGCGAATGCTAAGAAGAATGCTATATATGCTGTTCACATAGAATATGGTCCTAATCCTGCTGCGACCCGGATGGATTACATTGCTGAGTTTACAGTTACCATGCCTGTATTAAGTCTTACCGGAACAAGTGACAGCTTACCGGATGGAGAACATGTTGTACAGGTATACTGCGTTCAAACACAGGCTATTCAGCAGTATGCCTTGGAATTGTCTCAATGCTTGCCACCGCCCCTGGAAAGCGTGGAACTTGAGAGAACAAATTCTAATGTTTCTCGACCTTTTGGCGATGCTAATCTCAATGGTTCTGCTACTTTGGAATTGTCTAACAGTTTTAAATCCTCTGAGATGCCTCTAGGTAGTCCGATTCCAATACCACCAATACTATCCACAGGCCCTGAAAGTGCCCCCATAGCCAGCTGTCCAGTAAGCCTGTCATCTTCTGAGGTCACTAGCTTTCCAGAATTTGCTGCTTCAGCTGTGGAGTCTAAGCCAAGTGCAGCTTCATCAAGTAAAAGTACTGAAAGCTTTCACACTGCATCACCTCTTGCCTTAAGTCCAAGGTTATCTAGACAATTATCTGATATTAGAAGTCCTTTAAACAGCATTGATCCTAGTCTGCCATCCACTGCTCTTGGTGGTGACCAGCCAGTACTTGACTATTCAGTTGACAGGAGAGTGGATACCGTTGAGGAAAATTTGGCTGATTCACGTTCTTCAGGCGACAATCTAAGGAAGGATGAAGAAAATGGTGCACAAAATGATATTTCTTTGGTTCCTAATTCTCCTATGACTTTTAAACACCCGACGCACCTGATAACTCCCTCAGAGATATTATCTATGGCTTCATCCTCTGAAAACACACAAATTACTCCAGCTAAAATTGTTGGAGAGGCAAAGATTCAAGATGTGGTTGTCAACAATGATCTGGAAAGCACTGAGGTAGAGGTTAAAGTTGTGGGTGAGGCTGGAGGCAGCCAAAATAATGGGTTTGACTACCAGAGTGAACCCCGTGTAATTGTTGCAGAGAAAAAGGAGAAATCCTTTTACTCCCAAGCCTCCGATCTTAGCATTCAGATGGCCAGGGATTGCCATGTGGGAACTTACAGTATGGACAGGGTTCATCAGGCTGGTATCGTTACTGAGTCTCTTATCCAACCTAATGCTGGTGAGGATGAAGTTCGAGATTTGGCAGGAAATATGTCTGCAAAGGTTGGTGAAACAACTAATATCCCGACTATTTCGCAGTCCCCAGGTCCAGTGACAAAAGGGAAAAAACAGAAGGGGAAAAATTCTCAAGTCCCTGGTCCAACTTCTCCCTCTCCAAGTCCTTTCAACTCAACAGATTCATCCAATGGACAAGGGAGCAGTTCAAGTGCACCATCTACTGATGCTGCCTGGTCTCACTTATTTGCTATGCAGGAGATGCTGGACCAGGTATACTTTTTCAGTTCTATGAATTTGGCTGTGTGTGTCAGAGTGAGTGAGTCTCAGTTATTTGTATGCAGGAAATGTTGGACCAGGTATACTTTTTCAGTTCTTTAAATTCGGTTGTGTGTGTCAGAGTGAGTGATAATTAATATTATGTAGAATTCTGAGATTAACAGATAGGGGCATAGGGTGACCAAAGTGAGTTTACTAGTTCAAGATAAGTGGCATCTCCTCTTCCTTCCAAATAGAGGGTTTAGGGGTTGAGTCCCCAATGGGAGAAATGGATGAGCATGTGACTTACCTACCAAAAAAAAAAAAAAGGAAAGAAAGAAAAGAATTTAAGTCTAGCTTCAATTGGGATCTGTTTCTGTTCCATCTTGAGCAGAAATCCTCGTCACCAATGTCAGTTTTTGGTGGCTGAGTAGCTGAAGATGATGAACTCGTTGTCCTGTGTCCTATTCCAGGGCCGAAAACTGATGAACCTGGCTTGTTCATTGTGACAGTTTCTTTGACAGTAATGATTTCAACTTGCTTTACATTTTGAAGCACTAGAGTTTTTCTTTAATGAGTTTAATGATGAATCTAGCAACCAAGGACTTCACATTATAATAATAATAATAATAATAATAATGTCTAACCTTTCTCTCTCTGGGTTTTGTGAAGGCCTGTGTTTTTGAATTTTTTTTGTTCCCTTTCACCTAAGTTGGTATACTTAGATAGTCTCGGACCAGATCTTACTGATATAATGGAAAGAATTCGTAAATTAGTAAAGTTGGTAAGACTATTGTTTTTTGTTTTTTGTTTTGGGGGGATACATTAGACTCAAAATGTTTTAAATTTTAATATGAAACTGGAATATATATGAAAGTTTGTTTAGGTTGGTGAGTTAGAGACATTGAAAAGTTTATTTTTGTCACCTAGGTTCAATCAATTAAAAGCAAGAAGAGATTGATGATGATGATGATGATTACATCACAGAATCGCTATCTGAAATGTTGTGTGATTGGGGGGGCCAAATTGATAAGCAATAACCTATAATCATGAAGATTTGGACTCTTAGGAGTTTTGTTTGGTTTTATTGGACTTAGGTTACCTACTAGGGGAAAAAAAGAAAAATTTTGACTCAGGTTGGCTGCTTTAATCGAATGGAGTTTGTAATTTGTCGTTATTGTTTTAAAATTTGTTTGGCTAATTAGGTGTTGTTTGATATCTCACTTCAACACTTGATTCTGAATAAACCAAGTGCTTATTTAATTAAGTGCCTCTGATAATGCAATTTAAGTATCACTTTAAAAGAATTGGTTTCACTTAAAATTTTACTAGGAATAGGCATCACTTCAAATTTAAACAAATATCATAAAAATTCTCAATTTTTAATTAACTCTTAAAATTTAAGCACCTAAATTTTCATTATTGATTTCAGTTTTATCAACAGATTGTTAGGTGTTACCTCTCATCCAAGTGTGCTTCTTGAAGATATCAAGGTTTTAATAAGGGTAAAAAGGCAATTTGACAATTGAGGATCAAACTCTCCAACCAGGGGGTTTTGTTTATGCATTCATCTCATTGCTCATGCTTACAGTGCATTGCATTGCATACATGATTATATCCATAAAAAGTAATATATAGAAACATTTTGTTTTGAAAAATCCAAGTTTTACAAAGACAGGGCCTTCACTCAATCAAAGTCATTGACCAACCCTTACTGGTCTGGGTTCAATCAATCGAACTATCGATGGATCGTTCGAACCCTGTGGCCAACAGTTTCTTCTAAAGCATTTCTCCGCGTATCTAAATTTATTGCTACGCTTTCTCTAGTGCTTTGTTCGGTAGGAAGGAAAGAAGATGTGTGGAAAGAAAATAGGAAGGAAGGAACAAGCTTCCTTTGTTCGGTAGAGATGATACAAGGAAAGAAATGATAATAGGAGGGATGTGTAATCCTTCCTTCTTTACAAATTTTCATCCTTCCAAAAATGGGCGGAAGAGAGGAGGGAAGAAAAGTGGACTATTATAGAAGTTTTAAATTAAATATTATCCTAAATTACAAGTTATAAATTATAGTACTATCCTCAATGAATTACAATATTATAGATATTACGGGACATAATGGTAAAAACAATTTTAAACTTTATCTTTCCTTTTCTCATAACGAACATAATAAATTGTGAGCTTATTCTCTTCTCTCCAACCGAACAAAAAAAAGTTAAGACACAATCCCTTCCCTAGGAATGTCTCATCCATCCCTTCTTCTCTCCATTCCATCCAATTTTTTTCTTTCCTACCGAACGGAGCATAGAAGTATCTAGTAACTCAAAATCATAGGCAAACATCATGCACCATGGAGTTGATGGCGTGGAACGATTCGTGAGTGGTTTCCCCTTCTCATGGCAGTTGGGACCTTCACTATGTTCAGTTCATGAAGTGCAGCTGTTGCAGTTTCTTGCCATTATAAACACAATGGTTACTATGTGTAAATATGCATCAATGTTCAGCCCCAATTATCTCAAAACTTAATGTGCAAACTCAGGAATACTATTTTTTTCCCCTGGAGGTGGCAGGGAACATCGTAGACAAACTTCTTGTGAGCAAGTGGTTTAAAGACGAGGTTTATGAGAATTTCAAGAATCTATTTCCAAATTTTTGACCAAGTAGAATGTTTTGGTGCAAAGTTGCTTCATAAGCATGTTTTTGGTTCGACTTTGGAACTAATATAGGCTTAATTTTGTGTTTTTCATGCTCCTACATCTATATCTTTACTGCAAAACATGAAAATTAATGCGTTACCATGATTTTATGTTGAAATCCTAAAGCTTTTAAAATAGGCTCATAATTTATTCCTGTTTTCTGATTTTGTTTAATGTCACAGTTAATGAGCATGCAAAAAGACATGCAGAAGCAGATGAGTGTAATGGTGTCTGCACCAATTAGCAAAGAAGGTAAAAGATTAGAAGCATCTCTTGGCCGGAGCATGGAGAAAGTTGTGAAAGCCAATATGGATGCTTTGTGGGCTCGTTTTCAGGAGGAAAATGCAAAACATGATAAGTTAGAACGAGACCGGGCACAACAGATCACAAATTTGATTGCCAATTATATAAACAAGGATTTGCCAGTCATTTTAGAGAAAACACTAAAGAAGGAAATAGCTGCAGTAGGATCAGTGGTTGCTCGCGCTATTACTCCGATTTTGGAAAAGAACATATCTTTAGCAATTGTAGAGTCATTCCAGGTAAATTTCAAGGCTTATCTAATTCATTTCCTCCATTCTGTTTGAAAAGAACACATCTTTAGCAGTTGCAGAGTCATTCCTGGTAAATATCAAGGCATATTAACACATCAAATTCATTTGCTCCTCCTTTTATTTTCTGGTGCAAATTCATAGTTATAAGGATCCCATTACATCATCATAAATGATATTACCAAGTTGATTTCATGAAATCTTAAAAATAGATCCCGTACTTCTTATTGTGGTAGCAACTCCCAAATTCTTTAAATTGTACCTTTCTGTATGATGTATTGTGGTGGTAGAACACAATTGTGGAGTAATGCAAATTTCAATCTTCCACTGGGACATCCATATGTGATTAACTTTTTATCACCTTGGGCATTTTCTTAATTAGATTGTCCCCATTCAAATTTTGCAGAAAGGAGTTGGAGATAAGGCCGTAAATCAACTAGAGAGATCAGTTAATTCAAAACTTGAAGCTACAGTGGTTAGGCAAATCCAAGCGCAGTTCCAAACTTCTGGCAGACAAGCTCTCCAGGTAAGAGTTCAACAAATGAAGTTCCTTTTACAGTACTGGTGCCAAATTTTATATTGATCAACTTGAACATAATATTTTACTCCTGATGTATAAATGTCCATGTAAGTCCATTTATTTTATTTTTTAAGCAATGTTTTATCTGTATGGCTTTAAATAGAGCATGAATTCTGGTGCTCATGAATTGCTAGACACAACAGTTTTAAATCCTATAGAGAGATTTATTCTGTAGACTGGTTCTCTGACGTGTTTGATCATAAACTAGGTAGTGCTATATATACGAGAACTAAATTCTGTTGTTTATGAAGTCTTTGTGAAAACAATTTTAGTCAATCAAGATTTATATGTAAGGCTTTGAGTTATGATGTTGAGTTAAGATGTCGTCATTGTCCAGAAAACATGACTAAATAATGTTCTCGAGATAATTGGCAACCCTTTTAGGTCCATCACTGAGTAAGCAACTTAGGGGTTTGGAGTTTGTCATGGAAGCTCCTGAACTCTTCGTTGGGGATGACTCCTTTCCGGACCCAAACTTTTCCCAAAAAGAGGGAATTGGCAATCCTTTGACGTCCCCACTGAGGAAGCAACGTAGGGGTTTGGAGTTTGTCATGGGAGCTCCTGAATTCTTCATTGAGGATGACTCCTTTCCAGACCTTAACTTCTGCTCTCCCGAGTTGCCTCACCAATGAATTTCTCCCCACAAATTCAGAAAAACGCCTCATGCTCGCTGTAGGTGTTTGGTTCAGGAAGGAAGGGGGGAAATGCGGATTAGATAGAACATCGGTTGTTCAGTTCTTCAATTATGCCATATATAAATAGTTTGGGAGAAGAATTTTTTTTTTTGTATTCTGACTTTATAGAGCCGGTGCTGTTGTTGCTTACACGTAGGGCCATCCCCCACCCCCATCATGGGGCGCTAATGGGCTTCTCACATGTCACATATTCACAGAATCTCCTTTGCATCAATATTCCTAGCCACTTCTTTGTGGTGAGGACAACATGAAAGATTGCCTCAAGTTCCCGCGGTGGGGGAGAAGGGGAGGGGGGTTCATGCAATAAATTTGTTACAAAAAATTAAAGAACGTTCGTTGTTGAGTCCCCAATTATGTGGCAGGGTGGCATGAGGTTCATAGTACTGGGTACCTACACTATGCAAGTTATCAATTTCATATGATTTTTTTTTTTTTTCGGAAGGTAATTTCATATGAATTTTACTCAATACCTATTGTGGGGGTAGAACTTTTTAGGTTATAAATACTGAACATATGGCACATGTAAATCAACTGACACACACGAGCCCCATATTTTGCATTTAATTTACTGATCATCTGCCTTCTTCAGTAATATTGGTGTGAGTAAATTATTCAAATTCATGTGCGCAAGATCAGTATTTGAATAATTCTTTTACAATCATTTTTACACACACGATGAAATGAATGCCTATGTACTACTTTTGTGGATTTAGGGTGGAATTTGCATTTGCAGGATGCATTAAAATCAAGCTTTGAAGCTTCAGTTATTCCCGCGTTTGAAGCATCTTGCAAAGCCATGTTTGAGCAAGTAGATGCCACATTTCAGAAAGGTCTTGTAAAACATGCAAATGCTGCTCAGCAGCATTTTGAGTCCATGCATTCACCATTGGCTGTTGCTTTGAGGGTACGTTGATTAACATGATACTGATTTTAGGAGGAAGATAATACTTGCATCATATTCCATGTTGCTTTTACTTTGTTATTTTCACATATTTGTCTTTTGCCACTTCAACATGGTAATGTTTTTTTTAGATCTCACTTGCTATGGTAGACTGATAAAAATTAATTTCCTATAGTGTTTTGTGTTGGACCCATAGGCTGATGATCTACATGGAGACTTCCACAACTGGGAAAATGAAAATACTCCTATTAGAAAGTAGTATATCCAGCGATGAAAAAGAAATGATTTGTGGCCCCTTCAGAATCAGAACCTACAAAGAACCTCAATTTGGGTTCCCTTTTTACTTTTATTCTTGAAATCTTTTCAATTGAGGTTCCTTTTTACTTTAGTTGCTCTTAGATTTGCTCACACATCCTCATTCTGACATGCATGAGCTTTTAACATGCACCAAGCAGCGGCCCCTGCTTTCTCTCTCCTCTCCCTAATGTTATTGAGTTCACTTAACTTTTAAACTTCGTACTAATATAACTCAAAAACCTGTTTTTGCTCCGGGTCTCTTATCCAGTTCATGTATGTATCGATGTAAATTATGTTTTCTCCAACCATAGGATTTGCAGTTTGGCTGGATCAGGTGGATGGGCTTAATGGTATTTTCATTATGATATTACAGAAGGTTAAAAAATTATTGGATTACAGTATAGTACCATCTGACATATGATTCCATAGTTTCCATGTGTTTTGTGTGCAAGCTGCTTGTGCCACATTGTGTGTGATTGTTTTCTGACTTTACAGTTGATGCCAACATGAATCTGCAGGATACAATTAATGCAGCATCATCAGTGACTCAAACTCTAAGTGGAGAATTGACTGATGGTCAACGCAAGCTGTTAGCTATTGCAGCTGCTGGTGCAAACCCAAACACTGCAAATCCCTTGGTTACCCAATTGAGTAATGGACCATTAGCCGGTCTACACGAGATGGTATTTTCTTCTCTTTGATTTTTTGTTTTGTTTGAAAGGTATTTGGTCACTGGTTCACTACCTATGTGTTAGATTTACCAGTGCTACTGTTATAATTGTGCTTATGAGGTACTGCTATCAGTTCTTTCTGAAATTGGGAGGGTTTTAAATGTAAAAACAGGCGGAAGCTCCTTTGGATCCAACCAAAGAGTTATCCAAATTGATATCTGAGCACAAATATGAGGAAGCATTCACTGGAGCCCTGCAAAGAAGTGATGTGTCGATTGTATCTTGGTTATGTTCTCAGGTATGTTCTTGATTTTCATGTGTACATGCTGACGTACACTACTGACGAATGCTTTTTAGGAAGTTATATGCAATTAAGCGATTATCGGATAGAATGCATATGGTATTTGCTGATTAGCTGATACCTGTATACTCTTTCCAAGTGCCTGCCACTGGTTGGTTAGTTTAGTTAACCTCAATTATATTGTTTTCTAGGTAATAAATTTCTTCTTTTTACCAGGAAAAAATAATCCCAAAAAATTTTAAAAATTCAAAAACGGAAATAAGTCAATAGAAAAAGCCAAATACCCTGCTCGGTTTTTTTATAGGAATAGATCTGCCATTTCTTGAGATCTATATTCAAAATCGTGGTTGTTATCCTCACTTGTTCTGGTCATGGAAAGGGGTTATTGCTTAGTTCACCGATGAAATGCTTTACTTGTCAGTCAAGCATGACAACACAGGTTGGAATTATGAGAACAGCCACTTTTTGTACAAATAATATCAAATGTTAGGTCTGTATAGAGCCCACTAGGTAATTACCAATGGTTTATTCTTAATATACATATATATTTATAATCTATGAATATTGTAAAGTATAAAAACAAATGATTTCAAAAAGCTTCGGAATTTACATAATTTGAAAATTTGATTTTCTTATCTATTTCAAAAGAGAGCTTAGAAATGTAAAATATGAACATGCCATATATGTAATTGCATACATATACTTATTAAAAAAAATTGTTATTGCATACATACACAGCTATGATATAAATCATTGAGACATAAAGCACTTGTACATAATACATAATTACAATTAAATTTTTCGTATAGTAACGCACTTAACATAGATATATGCATACTTCAGTTTTGAATTTTGATTGGCCCCGCTTGATTTAAGAAGATATAAGAATTGAGAAAAAGCGTTTTACCGGAAGATCTATAAAGCATAGATTTATAACATATTCATATTAATACATAATTGCATTTAAAATTTTCATATAGTAATTACTACAGATACTTCCAAGTATTCTCCGAAATGCAAATCTTCATTTTTGAATTTTGATTCTCTCACTTGACTTGAGAAGGTATAAGGAGCGTGAAAAAGTGGTATAGAGGGAGGGAAGTCCACTTGGTGTGGCAGTCTATTGTTGAGGCTTGAGAGGTAAAGACTCCGACTGGTTGGTTGATGGTTGTAGTGAGAAACCATTTTCGGTATGCTGTAGCCTGTAGGAGCAAAAGATGTCTCGCTATATGGACTAGGCTAGGCTGAGTCATATCCTGATGTTTCACGATTCATCAAGCAGTTACAGATTGATCGAGGTCCAATCCATGTCCTACTGATTAAAATATGGTATCCGACTTTGGATCATGCTCTTATGATGTGGAGTCCACTGGGAGTGAGATCAAATTTTGAACCCCTGGGGCAATTTAAGTATTTTTCTATATACATGAGTTCAGGGTATTATTCAATAGCCGGTCCATTTATTTTATATGTTTATTGGATACAATTTTACAAATGTTGGTTCTGATGTCTGTTTTAGGTATCGAGTGACTGATTAGCTCTCGGTTAACATTTTATTTTTTTCATTCTTTCGCCAGGTTGATTTACATGCGATTTTGTCACAAGTTCCTCTCCCTCTGAGCCAAGGAGTTCTACTTGCCCTTCTTCAGCAATTGGCTTGTGATATCAGCAAGGAAGCACCAAGAAAGCTGGCCTGGATGACTGATTTGGCTGTTGCCATAAACCCAGCAGATCCTATGATTGCAATACATGTGCGGCCAATCTTCGAGCAGGTTTATCAGATACTGGGCCATCAACGGAGCCTACCGACCATCTCTGCTGCTGAAGCATCCAACATCCGCCTTCTTATGCACGTCATAAACTCCGTCTTGATGAGCTGTAAATGACTCTCCCTGTCACCCTAATTTGTGCAGCATTGTCGGTCAGGTTTGGGTTTGTACATAAATTTAGGAAGTCTTTTACTTGTCAAAAAAAAGAAAAAGAAAAAGAAAAAAAAAAAGGAAGTTTAAGGGAAAGCTGAAACCATATGGTCTTGAGCTATTGCGATAATTTGTGCCAAGTAGGGTTGGTTATGGATGTGGTCACCTGTTCTCCATTTTGTTTTGTTCTTTTTTTTTTTTTTTTTTTGGTTCATATTATTCTTACTTTTCCAGTCATGTTTCATTTCTTTTTCTTTCTTTTTTTCTTTTCGGAAATTAAACTTTTCTAATCATGTTGCTCATGTTGCAACAGTGTATTCTATCTTATAAAAGAAATGTAACTGAACCTTGATCCATCATTATTTCTGAGTCCCTTTTTGTATTTCTCGAACACTGTATGTAGATTTTTTGATTTAATCATCTGATTTTAGTTTTCACTCTCTTCATTTATTTCACTACCACAAATGGATTGAAATTTTCTGTTTTAAATATAAAGTTTTATCCTTCCATTTTGGTTTGCAGCCGAAGTTTTATATTCCTTGGTTGTATTCATCACTGATTGTTCCACTATCATCTGTTCAAGAATCTAAAAATTCTGAGGCTCTGCATAATGGGTTAGCTGTATGAGATTAATTTAAGTGGTAATACATGTTAGTGGTAGATTATCTCCTAAAAAGGAAAAATGAAAATAAGAAGAAAACAACAAAACTTTCAAGTGAGGAAATCTTGGAGTTAAAATTGAGAAATAAGTACCCCAGTGTTGCGTAAGTGCTGTGATGACTGCAGCTCACGGTTGGAATCGTTGATGCATACGCTGTGCTTTAGTGATCCGATCAAAGTTGTCCATAGTAGTACAACACACGTTTTATACAGCACATGATGCTAGCTCCTACCATTCCTATACAGAAGAGGATGCTAGCTCCTACCAGGCTTGACTTGATAGAATGGCTGACATCTTAATAAAGTAGTATTACTTGACAAATTTCATTAAATTCAACATATTTGAAAAGAAACTTAGAAGTACATTTACAATATGTTTGGTACGTTTGGTTAATTAAAGAAAAGAAAAGGAAAGAGAATAATTTTAATAAATTTATTATAATGTTTTTTTATATTTTAAAAGATAAATTTATATATATATATATATATACTTGTCTCCTATTGGCCCATGGATCGGCCACCAGAAAAAGAAAAATTATTTTAGGGCAAATCATTTCAGCCTCCCATGATCCATCTCTATTCTCGTTTTCAACTCTCTCTGCAACTGCAAACTACTACAAAAATCAGAAATTCAAAACCCATATATTTCAGTTTATATATTTATCTGCAAGAATCAAAAGTTCAAAACCCATATGGGCATCATTTCAGATTGTTCAAAAAATCAAAACCTATATCGATCTTTTAGTTTCCATCGCCTGCTCTTCCAATTTGGGTTCGCCGTTTGCAAGCTTCAGCTGCTGGCCCTCTTTCTCTCAACTCGCTCCCCCCGCCCCCACCCCCCGGCCGCCGCCGCCGCAACTGCTAACTTGTACATATGGGTTTTGTTTTATTTTTATTTTTTCTAAATCAACTAATCAAGGTCTGTAATTCTTGTTTTGCAAATTATATTCACGTGTAATTAAGGGCAAATTTGGTATCATAAATCTTCTCTTTCCTTCCAACCATTTGAACCAAACATAAATTTTTAATCACCCTCCATCCCATTTTCTCCCTTTTCCATTGCACCAAACTGACTCTTAAAGTTCTAGTTTTGAATTTTCATAGTTTTCAGTGTTAACTGGTTTTGTAGGTTTATTTACTTTCTAAAATATATGTATCTATATATATATATATATATATATATATATTAATTTAGTTGCCAAGTAGTTGTATACTATGCATTTTAATTTTACAAGAAAGACATTAAAGAGTGTTTTTGTTATTTATTTATTTTGAAAAAGAAAAAGAAAAGAAAAAAAAGAGAGTGCATTTGTGTGAAAAAAAAAAAGAAAAAGAAAAAAAAAAAGGTATTGCCTAGTTCGGCCCATATTTGCTTTCTAGACTAATCGGTAATTATATATACACATAGTGGACACACACATATATACAAACACAGACATCGTCCTTCTCCAAAAACTCTTGCATACATGAAAAAGTATGTGTATTTCTCTAGCAATCCAATTCCAACCTTGCCTGGAAATGGATTTATATCCTCAGCGCGATCGCTTATCACTGGAATGTTCATCTCTCCACAACTTTTCACCACATCTGCAACTGTTACCGCTTCTTTCATGGACCCAGAAATTTCTTCGGACGAAGGAGATCAATTGGACGGGTCTTGTGTCCTCCAGGACAAGGATCTTCTACGGAAGGGTCAGAATACAGGAACAACCGAGCTTCATGTATTAGACCTAATCGAACACGGGTCTATGGAACCAGACGCTACTCTTTACAACAAGTTGCTTAACAGGTGCACCCAACTGGGCAAGCTCAAAGAAGGTAGGATCGTCCATACCCACTTCCTCAATTCCAAGTTCAAGCATTACCTTGTTATTCAGAACACCATTCTCAATATGTATGCCAAGTGCGGTAGTTTAGATGAGGCACACAAAGTGTTCGACGAAATGCCTAAAAGGGACATGGTCACTTGGACTGCCTTGATTACTGGCTATTCCCAGAACGAAAGACCTCATGATGCGCTCGTTTTGTTTCCCCAAATGCTGCGTCTTGGATTGATGCCCAACCATTTCACCTTTTCCAGCCTTCTCAAGGCTGCTGGGGCTGTGCCTGGGGATAGAGACGGCAGGCAAATTCATGCTTTTTGCATAAAATATGGTTACGATTCGAATGTTTATGTGGGGAGTGCTCTTGTGGACATGTATGCTAGGTGTGGGCACATGGACGGAGCCCGGTTTGTTTTTGAAAGGCTGCCAAGCAAGAATGAGGTTTCTTGGAATGCTCTGATTTCTGGGCATGCTAGGAAGGCGGAGGGAGAGGATGCCCTTCAGCTGTTCTTGAAGATGCAGAGGGAGGATTTTACACCGACCCATTTCACCTATTCTAGTGTTTTCTCTGCTTGTGCTAGCACTGGAGCTTTAGAGCAGGGAAAATGGGTACATGCTCATATGATAAAGTCTGGAGGAAAGCTTATTGCATTCGTTGGCAACACTCTTCTTGACATGTATGCTAAATCAGGTAGCATCGATGATGCTAAAAAAGTCTTTGATAGATTGATAAAACCAGACGTGGTTTCGTGGAATTCAATGCTTACAGCATGTGCACTACATGGGCTTGGGAAGGAAACTGTTGAACGCTTTGAGAAAATGCTTAAGGTCGGAATTGAACCTAATGCAATAACCTTCCTTTGTGTGCTCACTGCTTGTAGTCATGCTGGGATGTTGGGCGAAGGACAATATTACTTTGAATTGATGAAAAAGTACAAGTTAGAACCAGAGGTCTCACATTATGTGACAATCGTTGATCTACTTGGTCGAGCTGGTCTTCTTGATCGTGCTGAGAGGTTCATCAGAGAAATGCCAATTGAACCCACTGCAGCCATCTGGGGAGCTTTGCTTGGCGCTTGCAGGATGCATAAGAACATGGAGCTGGGTACTTACGCTGCTGAACGTGTATTTGAGCTGGACCCCCATGATTCAGGACCGCAAGTGTTGCTCTCTAATATCTATGCTTCTGCTGGTAGATGGAGAGATGCAGCAAAAGTGAGAAAGATGATGAAAGAGAGTGGAGTGAAGAAGGAACCTGCTTGTAGTTGGGTGGAGATTGAGAATACTGTCCACATGTTTGTGGCTAGTGATGATGCTCATCCACAGATAGAGGAGATCTGTAAGATGTGGGAGAAGATATATGGGAGAATCAAGGAAATTGGCTATATCCCCGACACTAGCCATGTCCTTTTGTGTGTGGACCAGCAGGAGAGAGAAGCAAAGTTGCAACACCATAGTGAGAAGCTTGCTCTGGCATTTGCCCTTCTCAGAACAACGCCCGGATCCACCATCCGGATCAAGAAGAACATCAGAGTTTGTGGTGATTGTCACTCAGCGTTTAAGTTTGTATCAAAGGTGGTGGAGAGAGAAATTATTTTGAGAGACACCAACCGGTTTCATCACTTCCGTGATGGCTCTTGTTCGTGCAGGGACTATTGGTAGTGCTAGAAATTGACTTTTGTTACCTACATATATTTAAAGGAAGTGTGATTGATGAAATGGATGTTAGTTCATTACATGTCTCTCAAATACTCAATTGGTGTGGCAATGTCCTGAATGTCTAATTAAAGATTTGTATTGGACTGCCATGACCATAAAGTCTACCATTTCACATCTAAGCTGTCTTCCACAGGAGATGAAGTTCTTGTATGGAAAAGCTTAGAGATTCTTCTTTGAATTTAATGGGGCAATTCAATACGGCAGGGACCGAGCAAGGAAATTGGATGCTACAGTCAAACATCAAGCCTCATGGAAGCTGGACAGGATAGACATTCTGAACCAATAAACTGTGAAGTCTTTGTACCATATTCATTCGTCTGTGAGAATTGGAGTGATGTTTTAAGTTGCGAGCACTGACATTGCATTTGTAGTCCCTTGCTCCTTCCAGAAACATTTATGGTTGATATTCGTGATGGCTGCAGCTGTATATTGAGCCAGATCCGTGCTCCTTTGAGGAACGGTTGTGGTTGAGAATCCTGAAATGTTATATTGAGCCACATCCAGAAATAAGAGCTTCAGTGTACATTTTTCCATATTCTGAGCTTGGGAAGGGATGGAACGTCATCTTCGATGCTCTGATGTGAAGTATTTTTTTTCCTACACTTTTTCTATTTGAACTCAAGAGGATGCTGTCTATTTTTGTCTCAAAGACAACAGTCTTTTGCTATATTGGATAATGATAGACTACACACTTGTCTTCCATGGAAGCTAGGTCTTGCCCATTCAAACTGAGCCCCACTGAGTAATTTTCAGGTATTTTACATATTTATGGATTAGAGATATGTAGCATCATGATTGTCTATCACTTGAGTTCTTTGTTTTACTGTTACCTTTAATTCTATAGCGCTTCTCAATTTCCTTAAGTTGCTGCCATTGCTCCCAGTTGGCTCTCTTTCTGTGCCTTAAGATCATCATGATTTTCAGGTATTTTCTGTGCCTTAAGATCATTCATTTCAAACCTCAATCCTCGTCACCAATGTCAGTTTTTGGTGGCTGAGTAGCTGAAGATGATGAACTCGTTGTCCTGTGTCCTATTCCAGCGCCGAAAACTGATGAACCTGGCTTGTTCATTGTGACAGTTTCTTTGACAGTAGTGATTTCAACTTGCTTTACATTTTGAAGCACTAGAGTTTTCCTTTAATGATGAATCTAGCAACCAAGGACTTCACATTATTAGAAAATAATAATAATGTCTAACCTCTCTCTCTCTGGGATTTGTGAAGGCCTGGGTTTTTGAATTTTTTTTTGTTCCCTTTCACCTAAGTTGGTATACTTAGATAGTCTAGGACCAGATCTTACTGATATAATGGAAAGAATTCGTAAATTAGTAAAGTTGGTAAGACTATTGTATTTTGTTTTTTGTTTGGGGGGTGGGAGGGAGGGAGTTGTTATTTGTCCATAAATACATTAGACTCAAAATGTTTTAAATTTTAATATGAAGCTGGAATATATGTGAAAGTTTGTTTAGGTTGGTGAGTTAGAGACATTGAAAAGTTTAATTTTGTCACCTAGGTTCAATCAATTAAAAGCAAGAAGAGATTGATGATGAGGATTACGTCACAGAATCGCTATCTGAAATGTTGTGTGATTGGGGGCCCAAATTGATAAGCAATCCCCTATAATCATGAAGATTTGGACTCTTAGGAGTTTTGTTAGGTATTATTGGACTTAGGTTACCAACTAGGGGAAAAATAGAAAATTTTTGACTCAGGTTGGCTGCATTAATCGAATGGAGTTTGTAATTTTGTTGTTATTGTTTTAAAATTTGTTGGGCTAATTAGGTGTTGTTTGATATCTCACTTCAACACTTGATTCTGAATAAACCAAGTGCTTATTTAATTAAGTGCCTCTGATAATGCAATTTAAGTATCACTTTAAAAGAATTGGTTTCACTTAAAATTTTACTAAGAATAGGCATCACTTGAAATTTAAACAAATATCATAAAAATTCTCAATTTGTAATTAACTCTTAAAATTTATGCACTTAAATTTTCATTATTGATTTCAGTTTTATCAACAGATTGTCAGGTGTTTCCTTTCATCCAAGTGTGCTTCATGAAGATATCAAGGTTTTAATAAGGGTAAAAAGGCAATTTGACCATTGAGGATCAAACTCTCCAACCAGGGGGTTTTGTTTATGCATTCATCTCATTGCTCATGCTTACAGTGCATTGCATTGCATACATGATTATATCCATAAAAAGTAATATATAGAAACATTTTGTTTTGAAAAATCCAAGTTTTACTAAGACAGGGCCTTCACTCAATCAAAGTCATTGACCAACCCTTACTGGTCTGGGTTCAATCAATCGAACTATCGATGGATCGTTCGAACCCTGTGGCCAACAGTTTCTTCTAAAGCATTTCTCCGCGTATCTAAATTTATTGCTACGTTTTCTCTAGTGCTTTGTTCGGTAGGAAGGAAAAAAGAGGTGTGGAAAGAAAATAGGAAGGAAGGAACAAGCTTCCTTTGTTCGGTAGAGATGATACAAGGAAAGAAATGATAATAGGAGGGCTGTGTATTTCTTCCTTCTTTACAAATTTTCTTTCTTCCTTCCAAAAATGGGCGGAAGAGTGGAGGGAAGAAAAGTAGACTATTAAGGAAGTTTTAAATTAAATATTATCCTAACTTACAAGTTATAAATTACTGTACTATCCTCAATGAATTACAATATTATAGATATTATGGGACATAATGGTAAAAACAATTTTAAACTTTGTCTTTCCTTTTCTCATAACGAACATAATAAATTGTGACCTTATTCTCTTCTCTTCCATCCAACCGAACAAAAAAAACAGAAAAGACACAATCCCTTCCCTAGGAATGTCTCATCTATCCCTTCTTCTCTCCATTCCATCCAATTTTTTTCTTTCCTACCGAACAGAGCATAGAAGTATCTAGTAACTCAAAATCATAGGCAAACATCATGCACCATGGAGTTGATGGCGTGGAACGATTCGTGAGTGGTTGCCCCTTCTCATGGCAGTTGGGACCTTCACTATGCTCAGCTCATGAAGTGCCAGCTGTTGCAGTTTCTTGCCATTATAAACACAATGGTTACTATGTGTAGATATGTATCAATGTTCAGCCCCAATTATCTCAAAACTTAATGTGCAAACTCAGGAATACTATTTTTTTCCCCTGGAGGTGGCAGGGAACATCGTAGACATTTCTTCTTGTGAGCAAGTAGTTTAAAGACAAGGTTTATGAGAATTTCAAGAGTCTATTTCCAAATTTTTGACCAAGTAGAAGTTGATGTTTTGGTGCAAAGTTGCTTCATAAGCATGTTTTCGGTTTGACTTTGAACTAATATAGGCTTAATTTTGTGTTTTTCATGCTCCTACATCTATATCTTTACTGCAAAACATGAAAATTAATGCGTTACCATGATTTTATGTTGAAATCCTAAAGCTTTTAAAATAGGCTCATAATTTATTCCTGTTTTCTGATTTTGTTTAATATTACAGTTAATGAGCATGCAAAAAGACATGCAGAAGCAGATGAGTGTAATGGTGTCTGCACCAATTAGCAAAGAAGGTAAAAGATTAGAAGCATCTCTTGGCCGGAGCATGGAGAAAGTTGTGAAAGCCAATATGAATGCTTTGTGGGCTCATTTTCAGGAGGAAAATGCAAAACATGATAAGTTAGAACGAGACCGGACACAACAGATCACAAATTTGATCATCAATTATATAAACAAGGATTTGCCAGTCATTTTAGAGAAAACACTAAAGAAGGAAATAGCTGCAGTAGGATCAGCGGTTGCTCGCGCTATTACTCCGACTTTGGAAAAGGCCATATCTTTAGCAATTGTAGAGTCATTCCAGGTAAATTTCAAGGCTTATCTAATTCATTTCCTCCATTCTGTTTGAAAAGAACATATCTTTAGCAGTTGCAGAGTCATTCCTGGTAAATATCAAGGCATATTAACACATCAAATTCATTTGCTCCTCCTTTTATTTTCTTGTGCAAATTCGTGGTTATAAGGATCCCATTACATCTCATAAATGATATTAAGAAGTTGATTTCATGAAATCTTAAAAATAGATCCCGTACTTCTTATTGTGGTAGTAACTCCCGAATTCTTTAACTTGTACCTTTCTGTATGATGTATTGTGGTGGTAGAACACAATTGTGGAGTAATGCAAATTTCAAACTTCCACTGGGACATCCATATGTGATTAACTTTTTATCACCTTGGGCATTTTCTTAATTAGATTGTCCCCATTCAAATTTTGCAGAAAGGAGTTGGAGATAAGGCCGTAAATCAACTAGAGAGATCAGTTAATTCAAAACTTGAAGCTACAGAGGTTAGGCAAATCCAAGCGCAATTCCAAACTTCTGGCAGACAAGCTCTCCAGGTAAGAGTTCAACAAATGAATTTCCTTTTACAGTACTGGTGCCAAATTTTATTTTGTTCAACTTGAAAATAATATTTTACTCCTGATGTTTAAATGTCCATTTATTTTATTTTTTAAGTAATGTTTTATCTGTATGGTTTTAAATAGAGCATGAATTATGGTGCTCATGAATTGCTAGACACAACAGGTTTAAATCCTATAAAGAGATTTATTCTGTAGACTGGTTCTCTGACGTGTGTGATCATAAACTAGGTAGTGCTATATATATGAGAACTAAATTCTGTTGTTTATGAAGTCTTTGTGAAAACAATTTTAGTCAATCAAGATTTATCTGTAAGGCTTTGAGTTATGATGTTGAGTTAAGATGTCGTCATTGTCCCGAAAACATGACTAAATAATGTTCTTGAGATAATTGGCAACCCTTTTAGGTCCACCACTGAGGAAGCAACATAGGGGTTTGGAGTTTGTCATGGAAGCTCCTGAACTCTTCGTTGGGGATGACTCCTTTCCGGACCCAAACTTTTCCCAAAAAGAGAGAATTGGCAACCCTTTGAGGTCCCCCACTGAGGAAGCAACGTAGGGGTTTGGAATTTGTCATGGAAGCTCCTGAACTCTTCGTTGAGGATGACTCCGTTGCAGACCTTAACTTCCGCTCTCCTGAGTTGCCTCACCAATGAATTTCTCCCCACAAATTCAGAAAAACACCTCATGCTTGCTGTAGGTGCTTGGTTCAGGAAGGAAGGGGGGAAATGCGGATTAGATAGAACATCGGTTGTTCAGTTCTTCAATTACTCCATATATAAATAGTTTGGGTGAAGTATTTATTTTTTTTATTCTGACTTTATAGAGGCGGTGCTATTGTTGCTTACACTTAGGGCTATCCCCCGCCCCCATCATGGGGCGCTAATGGGCTTTTCACATGTCACATATTCACAGAATCTCCTTTGCATCAATATTCCTAGCCACTTCTTTGTGGTGAGGACAATATGAAAGATCGCCTCAAGTTCCCGCGGTGGGAGAGAAGGGGAGGGGCGTTCATGCAATAAATTTGTTACAAAAAATTAAAGAACGTTCGTTGTTGAGTCCCCAATTACGTGGCAGGGTGGCATGAGGTTCATAGTACTGGGTACCTACACTATGCAAGTTATCAATTTCATATGATTTTTTTTTTTTTTTTTTTTCGGATTGTAATTTCATATGAATTTTACTCAATACTTTTTTTTTTATAAGTAAAAATATATTAGAAAAACGTTTAAATGGGAACGCGTCCCTAATACACAAAAATGAAAGAGCAAAAACCAAACCTATGGACCAACAGAGTCCAATAGAACAAAAAAGTTATCGATCGAGGAGCAAGAGCTGCCTCTGACATAACAGAAAAGAGAGCATAGGATAAAAGACTTAAGGTTTGCAAAAGACGATTCCTTCCTTTCAAAGTTTCTGTTATTTCTCTCTCTCCAAATACACCACCAAACACAATGTGGGGCGACCCTCCAAAAATCACGAGCATGACCAAAAACATGGCATCTTCTCCAAGCATTAATTAATTAGAAAGAGTGCTTAGGCATTACCCACTGAACGCCAAAAATACTAAATATGAGATTCCAGCAATCAGATGCAACTGAACAATGCATAAGAAGATGGTCCGCGGACTCACCATCATTTTTACAAAGACAGCACCAATTAACAATGGTATTACCTCTCTTACGTAGATTATCCAATGTTAGAATTTTTTCCCAAGTAGCAGTCCAAACAAAGAAGGCAACTCTAAGAGGAGCTTTAGAGCGCCAAATACACTTCCAAGGGAAATCATATCCAATAAAATTAGACAAACACAAGAACATGGATCGAACTTCGAATCTACCATTAAAAGAGGGAGTCCACAAAATATCATCACAACCTCTGCCAACATCCTTCTGTCTATACAACAGGTCCAAAAAGACACAAACTTCAGCTATCTCCCAATCCTGAAAGTAACACCTAAAACGCACATCCCACGTAACTCCACTGTTATCAAGATGATAACAGTCAATTACATAAGCATGCTTATTCTCGGCAATGCTAAAGAGACGAGGAAAAGAAAGAGACAACAACTGATCACCACACCATAAGTCTTCCCAAAATCTAACATACATACAATTACGAACCTTGAACCGAATATGGGTGGAAAACAAATCCCAACCTTTCCGAATAAATTTCCAAACGCCAACGCCCCCGGTAATAGAAACAGGACGAGAGGACCAACCTCCACTCTCTTCCCCAAAACGACACGAGATAACTCTTCTCCATTGTCGATGACGTTCTTTACTGAATCTCCATAACCACTTCCCCAATAAGGCTCTATTGAAAAGGACTAACTTCCGGATACCTAAACCACCAACTTCAATGGTTTGCAAACCTGCTCCCAATTAACAAGATGATACTTAAACTCCTCTCCTTTTCCACTCCAAAGAAAGTCTCTCTGAATTTTTTCAATTCGATCAGCAACAGAACACGGGATCTGAAACAGAGATAAGAAATATGTGGGAAGGGATGAGAGGGTACTCTTAATAAGAGTGACCTTTCCCCCCTTCGAAAGATACTGTTTTTTCCACCCCGCCAATCTTTTTTCATACCTGTTAATCACCGGATTCCAAGTCCCCACTATCCTGGAGGAGATTCCCAAAGATAAGCCCAGATAAGGGAGTGGAAAGGCACCCACTCCACATCCAAGAACAACAGCTAAAGTGGAAATATTAGAGACCTCCCCCATTGGGACAAGCACACTCTTTCCAACATTAATCTTAAGACCAGACACTGCTTGGAAGCATGTAAGAATGCACCTTAAATACCTGAGTTGGGAAACATCAGCATCACAGAAACCTAGGGTATCATCTGCACACAACAAATGGGATATCTCAATCTGGTTAGCAACATCTCTGCCAACAGTGAACCCCCTTATGTAACCTAGATTCTCTGCCTTTTTCATTAATTTACTCAATCCCTCCATGACAATAAGAAAAAGAAAAGACGACAAAGGATCTCCTTGTCTCAAACCACGCGAACTCGGAAAAAAACCAGCAGGAGAGCCGTTCACAAGCACAGAGAACATAACTGATGAGATGCAAGATTCAATCCATTTTATCCATCGATCTCCGAACCCCATTCTCCGAAGCAAATAAAGAAGAAATTTCCAATTCACATGATCATAAGCTTTCTCGATATCTAGTTTGTATAAAACACCAGGAACTTCACTCTTCAACCTGGAATCGACACATTCTCCTGCAATAAGAACAGAATCTAAAATCTGTCTACCACCAACAAAAGCATTTTGTGACACTGAGATGATTCCATCCAAAACATTCCGCATTCTAAGAACAAGGACCTTGGCAATAAGCTTATACATACACCCCACTAAACTGATTGGCCGAAAGTCCTTAATGTCAGAGGCATTACTCTTCTTAGGAATAAGAGCAATAAAAGATGCATTTAATGATTTCTCGAATGTGCCATGAGAATAAAATTCCTGAAAAGTGCCCATTACCTCATTACGCACCACCTCCCAACTCTCTTTAAGAAACCGCATAGTGAATCCATCTGGCCCTGGAGCTTTATCACCATTACAACTGGATAACGCCTTAAGAACTTCCTCTTCAGAGAAAGGAACCTCAAGCATATCACTATCCAGCGTAGAAATAACATTGAAGTGTAAACCATCAAGTTTTGGTCTCCATTCCAAAGTCTCAGTATAGAGCTGCTGATAAAAAGAAATAATACCCCCACACACCTCATCTTCTTTCCACAGCTCTGAACCATTCACACGAATACGCCCAATATTATTGTATCTTCTATGAGCGTTAGCAAGTCTGTGAAAGAATTTAGTATTACGGTCACCTTTTTTAAGCCACAAAGCCCGAGATTTCTGACGCCACGATATCTCCTCCATAGTAGCAATCTCAGCAAAAGTCGCCTAACAAGACGCTCTTCTAAAGCGAAGAGAATCCGTATCTTGCCCTGTCTCATCAAGACGATAAAGATTAGCGATATCAGCCAGGACTCTATTTTTCTTCCATTCAAGATTCCCAAACACTTCTTTATTCCATTTCTTAAGTTCAGATTTGAGAGTCTGAAACTTCTTAGCAAGCACATAGCTATTAGAGCCAGTTAGCGTTGTTCTTCCCATCAGGACTGGACTTTCCCTTAGAAGTCCTCAGCTCTCAACCACATATTTTCGAAACGAAATGGAGTCCGTCTAGATCTCATGCCTCCACAATCAAGAACTAAGGGCACATGATCAGACGTGACTCTAACCAAAGCAGACTGAGTGACATCCGGAAACTTCTCCTCCCAATCTCCAGAAATCAGGAATCTATCAAGCCTCGATAAAGTAGCTGGGTCTCTGCCACTAGACCAAGTGAAAATTGCCCCTTCCAAAGGCAAGTCGATAAGAAGGTGACCATCAATAAAGTCAGAGAACTGGGTCATCTCTGAAGACCACCTCCCCCTTGTGGATATTTCAAATGGAGACCGAACAGAATTGAAATCCCCGCCTAAGCACCAAGGCAACGGCCACAATTCCTTAATGTAACTGAGTTCTTGCCAAAAAGCAGGTCTAACACAATCAATAACGGGTCCATAAACTCTAGAAAATACCCAACTGAAGTTATCATCTTCCATCTAAAACACGCAAGACAAAGAAAATAGCCCTTTCCAGATATTCGTTCTAGACATCCATCTACGATCCCACATAATAAGAATACCGCCTGATGTACCATAGGCGTTCAAAGCTTCCCAATCAACGAACCTACTTCCCCAAAGGCTTCTAACCACGGCATCAGAAATAGAAGCCAACTTGGTTTCTTGCAAACAAATAACATGGCATTCCACTTCTTCAAAGCAACTTTAACCACCTTTCTTTTGTCCCGATCATTTAATCCACGGACGTTCCATGTAATAATTCGTATCTTCATTGAGAACCAAAGATAATTAGTGCCCCTCCTCCCTGCTTCCCACTTCTAGTCCTTCCCCTTTCTTTATTCACCCCATCCTTCCCTTCGTAATAAAAGGCAAGAACGAATGTAACTTCTTGGTAAAGATTTAACACACACACTAAGACAATATATTTTAGGCTTTGGTCTCCTTTTTCAGCTTTCCAAGCTCCTGCCTAATGACACCAGCCTTCTTAATTTTTGCCAACATAAGCTTGAACCTATCAAAATCGTTGAGTGAGGCCCTTCTCTTCTGCACAATTAGCTTCCTGCCCCGGGAACTGTTCTCCCATTTGTTCTTCACATCAGCAGCCTCCATGGCTGCAATCAGAGTCTTCTTCTTTGGAACCCTTTTGATGTCGATCTTGATATCTGTGAGTGAAAGCCTCTTGAAATTCATTTGGGTCCGCACCATATCCGGGGCATCAACAAGGGCTCTGTTTTGATCTATAACATCGACGATCACAACGAGCCTTCCATATTCCTTTCCATAGTTGACGAGAGCGACCCTGCCGATCTCCACGTACCTCTTGAACGGCATTTTCGGCGATCTAAGGGCCTCTGGGCGAGAAGGACGAACTTGAGACTGAGGCCAGATGGGTCAATACCTATTGTGGGGGTAGAACTTTTTAGGATATAAATGCTGAACAGATGGCACACGCAAATCAACTGACACACACCAGCCCAATATCCTGCATTTAATTTACTTATCATCTGCCTTCTTCAGTAATATTGGTGTGAGTAAATTATTCAAATTCATCATGTGTGCAAGATCAGTATTTGAATCATTTTTACAATTTTACTGCTCATTGGTACACACACAATGAAATGAATGCCTATGTACTACTTCTGTGGATTTAGGTAACTGGCTTTCTGATAATTAAAGAGTGGAGGATGCATTAAAATCAAGCTTTGAAGCTTCAGTTATTCCCGCGTTTGAAGCATCTTGCAAAGCCATGTTTGAACAAGTTGATGCCACATTTCAGAAAGGTCTTGTAAAACATGCAAATGCTGCTCAGCAGCATTTTGAGTCCATGCATTCACCATTGGCTGTTGCTTTGAGGGTATGTTGATTAACATGATACTGATTTTAGGAGGAAGATAATACTTGCATCATATTCCATGTTGCTTTTACTTTGTTATTTTCACATATTTGTCTTTTGCCACTTCAACATGGTAATGTTATTTTTAGATCTCACTTGCTATGGTAGACTGATAAAAATTAATTTCCAATAGTGTTTTGTGTTGGACCCATAAGCTGATCTACATGGAGACTTCCACAACTGGGAAAATGAAAATACTCCTATTAGAAAGTAGTATATCCAGCGATGAAAAAGAAATGATTTGTGGCCCCTTCAGAATCAGAACCTACAAAGAACCTCAATTTGGGTTCCCTTTTTACTTTTATTCTTGAAATCTTTTCAATTGAGGTTCCTTTTTACTTTAGTTGCTCTTAGATTTGCTCACACATCCTCATTCTGACAAGCATGAGCTTTTAACATGCACCAAGCAGCGGCCCCTGCTTTCTCTCTCCTCTCCCTAATGTTATTGAGTTCACTTAACTTTTAAACTTCATACTAATATAACTCAGAAACCCGTTGTTGCTTCGAGTCTCTTATCCAGTTCATGTATGTATAGATGTAAATTATGTTTTCTCCAACCCGTTGTCGATGAGAGATGAATTTTTAGGCATGTAACAAGGCCTTGTTAGAGTTTAGGCCCTGCATTTAGCATCTCCTATCTTGATACGCTGATTTAATTTTTTTTTACCTGCATGGCCAAATTTTTTATAGTTGTTTCTGAAATCCTATCCAATTTGTTCAAGGATACCTTGAGCATTCAGAAAGATGCTTAAAGGTAACTGTGATTCTAGAATGTTTTATATTCTAAAACTTGACAAAGTTGTAGCTGATTTTTCTGGAACACATTAGTATTTAGTTCTGTAGTCCTTTTTCCCCTAACTGAAATGCGCTTTTGAAAGACCTCCTATTATAGATACTTATTAACTGTTAAAATTTGGGGACCATACAATTTCCTCTTTCAGAAGAGACCAAGGGTGATTTACAAACATTCAACTTCAAGTCTTTTGTCTTTTACTAGAAACTTTATGAAGGAAGAACATATTGCTGCTAGGGCATTTTAAAATAATAGATCTTCTATTAATGTGTTTTAGTGGGAAAAGTAGAAGATAATGCCAGCACACCTTTTCCGTCTAAGCCTATTTTATTAGTTTCTTCTTTTTTTCTTTGGCAATTTCCTCTTGCAGATCCCTTTGAGGAAATCATAAACTTTTGAATTGGCTGCCAATTTAATTTTATTCAGCTTGGAGAGGATTACAAAGAGTGTAAAACTGGCAGCCAGACTGGACTCCTCCTGAAGCTCTAGTTAGCGCAGAAGTGGCATGCTGAAGTGAAGTTGACCTTTAATGATTCTTGGATTGTTTACGTGAAGTCATCGTAGTGTTGGGGAATTCTATAGCTTTTCAAGCCTTAGACCAAGCTGGGAAACAGATCTGCGATGTCAATGGGATAATTCAAAGTGCAGATGAAGATTAGGCACATTAGTTCATTCTTTTTAAAGCTAATATTTTTGTTTTCTTTTGATTTTTTTAGCTATTTCTCTCGGGGCGGGGGGGAGAAGGCGCAAAAGCTTGTATTTAGGGTATGTAAAATGAATGATGACATATAGCTCTAATTGTTGCGAGTTTGTTTTCTCAAAATGTTGGGTATGTTTTTTAACTCCTTCCAATTTTTTGCTATACTGGTTTTCTGACCAATTTGTTCATAGTAATTTGGCAACACGTCATTCTCATTAAACTCCCAAAATTCATAGACGCATGGACACACATACAGAATTCACAATTATGCTATGATTTGATATTTTAGGTCACAATTATGTATGTTTTGATATTTTTGGTCACAATTGTGCTATGATTTGATATTTTAATTGTTAGAAAAATTATTAAATTGTACGGGACTATTTAACCTCTCTGGTGAAGATCTCTGTTCCGTCTCTTTTCTCTCTCTTCCTCTCTCTTCTTTACTCCCTACAAATGGAAGTTTACATGAAATTACAAATAGCCCATTCCGTTTCCAAACCGTGTGTTGCTCATTTTGCTAATCACATGCCTAAAATAGTGATTTGATTTGATGAGTTAGTTTTTGGCAGTACATTTGATATACGTCAAAGTTACTAAAGTTTTTCCAACACCATAGTCTGTAAAAAGATCGCAAGTACTACACGGTGCCATGATAAAAAACAAAGCTTGATTTATGGCAAATTTAGGTTGGAAGGCTGACAACATTAGCGGTCACTGACAGAGCCACATAATGTCAGATAATATCATTAGCTGTTGTTATATATATATATATGCACAGATATGACTACTTTGGTGGTTTGGACAAATGTGTAAGAGTGGTAAAGTCGAAGCAAATTTTGAGGAAGAATTGGAACGAGAAATGCGCTTACCTTTGTGGCCTTTCAATGCTTAATTTTCGAAAGAGGAAGGGATCATCGGAAGAGAAACAAGCGTCAAAACAGGAACCCCATCACTTTGTTTCACACATATACATACACAAACATATATATAGAGAGAGAGAGAGAGAGGGACTGGTGAGAGGCGTGTAAGAGGGTATTTTTGTGCATATATATATGTTGCAGTGTGTGCGCGGTTGAGACGGTTTAGCTTAGAATCGCGTAGCGTGTGAGCAAAAAAGCTCATTTTCATCTTCTGAAACCAACAAAACAGCTCAACCAAAGACAAAAAGAGGAAACAAAAGGTAACAGAAAAAGATCATCTTTTCAATACAATATGCATGGAAATCATTAGCATTTCAACTTCAAACGCATCAAAATTCTAACTTTTTTTAGTCACCCATTTGTTTATATTTCTATCACAACTCTTACCATATATATATTATATGATATGCCCAGGTCTTGATATATATATATATATATATATATATCTCAACAATTTACATTCCTTTCCTCCAAACACTTTTCATGTTTCATCCTAGTTTTTCCATTTGTGGGATTGCTCTTGATTTATACACTCAGCTCATCCTAGTTTTTCTTTGTGTGGCAGAAACCTTAAGAAAGGAAAATGGAGAGGGAAAACAGGAAGAGAGGAAGAGAAGGAGATGAGAAACAAGACGCGGCGAAAAGTGCAAAAAAGGTAGATCTCAGTTACATTGATGATGAGTACTTGGACTATGACAACAAAGAGAACAACATGAGCTATTACGACGATCCTTGTGTGTCCGGTAATGGAGGAGTGTTCGATTTTCCATGGCTGAAGGATGGTATGATGATCTTCAAAACAGAGGACTGCTCGGAATTAGAGAGCACCATTGCGTCGTACTCCATAAACCCTGATGATGAAACGTACAACACCATCTTGTATCAGTCTCCTCTGAATTTTCATGAAGATCATGACAAGTTTGATGTGGACCTCTCGTCGGTGTTCCAAGTTGATGAGCTCGATAATGTCGATTGCATTTGGAGCTCGGTGATTGATGAGCCTCTTCTCACTGGCTTCAACAAGATTTAAAGATCAATCAATGACTAATGTGCAATCTAATCCCATGGAATATTATCAACAAAGTCTCTCTCTCTCACACACACACACATACACACAGTGGAGGTCAAGAATAGAGGTTTTTTTTTTTTTTTTTTTTTTTTTAGTTCTTTGTTGAGGCTTTTGATTTTGTTTTGTTTTCTTTTCCTTTGACCTGACTATTTTTCTGGCTTAAAGGCAAAATATACTCGCTGAATTACAGCTGATTTGAAAGGAGGATGGTGGTTTAAATGACACATCCTTCATCAAAGTTTAGCTATTTTTATTCAATAGTTGTACTCCCCAATTTTGTTAATGAAGAAATTTCGTACAAGTATCTGAATTTTCTAAATACACATATATATTGCAATGATGCCTTATATTCATTGTAGTACTTGGGTTCCTTCCACATTAAATATGGTTTCTGGATAGCAGCAAAAGCAAGTCAATTTTTTATTTTATTTTATTTTTTTTATTTATTTATTTTCTCTCTCTCTCTCTGGAAAGTTAAGCAAAGGCGTACACATTGTTCCTATCATGCTCAAACACTCAACCTCTCCATCATACCATCTTTGGAATAATTCAAATTTATTTATTTTTTGTTTTTGGCAAGAAATTGTCGCACTCATTTGATCCTATAAGAATTTGAATCATCACCATTCATTTTAAGAAATAAAAAAAGTATCATTAAGTTACAAGACCCTTGGTAATTCACATTAGTTAAAAGTAACTTATTTTAATAAACCATTTGTCTGAAAATTTATCTACGGCAAATTTGATCATTGAATCCCATCCCTCATTCGGCAAGAGAAATCCTTGGGTCACCACCATTGTCGGGAAAAAAAAAAAAAAAAACACATATAAAAAAAAAATTAGTTAATGTTTGATGGACTGAAATCCTCTCCTGTTTCAAACAGGAGATCTGTTTCGGCCGGTTCGTATTGTAGCGGCTATAAAAAATAGAAAAACAGTGTTCTGGTAAAAATAGATATTCTGAAAATATACGATATTATATATATACACACGTATACGAAATTATATATATACACATATATACGAAATCAGAGTACTTCACTGTTCAATTTCAGCGCCAATTTGAAAATTCAATTTGAACATCCCAAATTTCAGCGCCATTCTTCTTTCTTTTTCTCTCCCAAAATATAGAAAGAAAATATATTTTCTTCCAAAGAAAGTCAGAGCTCTCCATCCCTTTCCTAACTTTTCTTCATTCCAAATTTACAGGTTATTTCCAAAGGTTTTCTTACAGGGTTCTTTCCAAAGGTTCTCGCCATCCCTTTCCAAACTTAGAGGTTTTATATGATTGACTCGTATTAAATTTCATTAGTTTTGTTTGGTAATTTACAGGGTTCTTTACAAAGATTTGAGAAGAGGTTCTTACGGGGTTCTTTCGAAAGGTTCTCTCGATCCCTTTCCAAATTCAGAGGTTTAATATTATTGAATCGTATTAAATTCTGTTTAATATTATTGAATCGTATTAATTTACAGGGTTCTTTCCAATTTGTTATGGTAGTTGACAATTAAGATTGGTAAATTATAAATAAGTTAATATGGTTATAGTATTAAACTTTCAATTTAAGATCTTAGAATAAATTTTTCATTTTATTCCTGTAAGGTAATGTTGTATACAATTTGTAATGGTAATTGAGAATTATGATTGGTAATTATAAATAACTTAAGATGTTTATAGTTTTAAACTTCCAATTTAAGATAGTAGATATGTCAATAAACCTATGAGGAGATATTGTCAATAAATGATTTAAAAAGATAGTATCTTTTATAATTCCTCCCATTGATTTGCGTTAAATAGGTTCTAGCTTGTTAGCTATATACTCCTTTTGTTGTTAGGGAACTTTCATTATCTCGGTTTTGGGATAAGTTAACTTAAGATGTTTATAGTTTTAAACTTCCAATTTAAGATAGTAGATATGTCAATAAACCTATGAGGAGATATTGTCAATAAATGATTTAAAAAGATAGTATCTTTTATAATTCCTCCCATTGATTTGCGTTAAATAGGTTCTAGCTTGTTAGCTATATACTCCTTTTGTTGTTAGGGAACTTTCATTATCTCGGTTTTGGGATAAGTTATCATCTATGGTCAGTTGGAGGAAACTCTTTAACTCTTGCAATCGTTGGAGTTTTCTAAAATTCTGTTTTAGAATTTCTCTAGTTCTTGCTTGGAAACGAACTTTTTATTAGGGCCTACGAAATTTTTACCATACATTCCCCTCTCTGCCTAAAGTCTCTGTAAAATTTGATAATTTTTGGACAGGTGGATATTTCTATAAAAAACATTGACTATCTGTTGCCCAGTTTTTTTTTATCACAGTTCGGGGACTGATTTTGAGAAAATGATTTGACAGACTTCCCGACATCGTTAAATTATGAAACTTTCCAATTTTGTTATTTCTTGTTTCTAATTTCTAGAAATAAAGGTCGCAAAATTTTATCGGCTCCATAAACGACTAAGCAAGCCAAAGTTCGGCACTTGGTGGGATTTCAGCACAAGTTGTGAAAACTTTCTTCCTTCTAAAACTGTTTATGGCTCAGTCACGTTTTACTCTAAGTCTAGCTTCTAAAGAATTTTAGTTTGCCTCGTTCTGATAAAAATTGAATTTTCTATCATTTTTTGTATAACCGCTAAGCAGAATTTTTCTTTAACTAAGCACTGCTATTCCAATTTTTGCTTTTAACCTTATTAATCGCGTCCTATGGTCTTAGGGCGTGATAGGTTTGTAGTGGTTGTCGAACTCCGAACCCAAAGTTTATGCAATGTGGCCAAGTTTTACATTTAGAAATTGCTACTACTACCTTTCACTAAAAATATAGCTAGGGTGAGTAGGGATCGTCTTAAGGGATTGAGGGTCACACTAGGTTGAGGAATCAAAATTAGGGTTAGTAGGTCGAGTAATCAAAATAGTGGTTGGTTGGTTGAATTAAACTAGATGCAAATTAAATTAAAGTAAACAATAATGCAATAGAGAGAATAAAAGAGAGAGAGATCTTGGGGTTTAGAGATCACCACTAAGCATAGCTTTTCTACACCTTTAATAAATGATTAATGAGGGGAAGAACATATATTGCAACAAAGTGTGTGTGTGTGGTTGTTCTAATAAGCATGGATGCCAAATTAAGCATATATTGTCTAAACAACATGGTGAATAGCACAACATATCAAATTGAGCCATTAATCCTTCCTTTAAGCTCACAATCCAAACACATCATAAGGTTAGAGATATATGTTACTTGCTTTTCATAAATATGGAACATCAACAACAAGCATGGATTGTCCTCCCATTTAACAACTACACTACAACTAAGCTAATGACATGGAATTAAGCTAATTAAACTAAGGGAGAGGTACAATCCATCGAGAAATGAGTATGAACCATCAAATAAACCACAAGAACATGACATTAAGCACTATGTCTTGACAATCTTTAGATCTATAACATCAATACACATAGATATGCATTAATAACACAAGAAATAGAAACAAACACATGGACATCTATTCTAGCATACATAGACATATGAATAGAATGAAATGATCAATTGGAAGCATTAAACCATATAAATCATTGAATAAATAAGATCTATATAAATAAAAGTGTCAAGACATGAATCATAATACAAATCTCCTAAAAAATACATAAATCAAGAAGTAGAAAGCATGCTTAGGGCTTACTCTAGCCCCAAGAGGATGTCTAGCCATTCATGGATGATGTCCTCCAACCCTCAAGGGCAAGCTCCATGGAAGAAATCTGCTCCTTGGTTAATGAAGAGTCTCTAATGGTGTCTCTAGCCTCCTCCTCCTCTTTTTTTTTTCTCTCTAAGTATGTGTATCAAAGTATATCAAAAGGCTCTCAAGTATATGCTCAAAAAGTGGCTCATATTCCTTATATAGGTAAGTAAAAAATCATCCCAAATGAGCTAGGCTCGTACACCAATAATCCTCTAATGATTGGATATGAGACAACTTTTAATGAGCTAGAATTTGGATTTTTCTCGAAATTTGGGAGGTTTGATCGATCGAACTTGAGGTACGATCGATTGAATATGGCTGAGATCGATTGAATATGGCTGAGATATATCGAATTTAAGTTGGATCGATCCTCAATGGCGGCGCCTTTTTGGATAAAAACAAATCTGAGATATTTTAAAGATATTTTTGGGAAAATGACAAAAGTGGTTGGTAGGGTGGTACAACTGGATAAGATCAATCATTTGGATAAGGACAAAATGGTTCGATCGATTATAGAATGAGGTTGGATCGATCGAACTTTGAGATTTTTGAATAGGAACAATCATAGCTCAGATCCATCTTGAAGTGCCGAGATCAATGAAAGTTGGATCGATCGAACTTTTATTGAGATCGATCGAAATTGCTGAAATTTCACCCTTTGCTTCCTTTTTGCTCTACTTTGCTCCTTTCTTTGATTCATCCCAGAATTGTTTCAATTATGCTCTTATTTGGCTGAGTTAGCTTATTTTGGGGATAAGTACCTGAAAATGGAAATAACACGAAATCAATACAAAATGGTAAAATAAGATAAATAAAGGTCCTAGAATACCTAAGCTTAAGGGGTTTAAATACGCACTTTTCAGCGCTCATCAGTTTGGTTCTCATCTTCCAACATGTCTCGTTTGCTTGTCGATATTTATTTAGATTGTTTAGAATAAATATTTCTTATATACTTTTGTTTCATTTTCTACATTGAAATTTTCTATGTTCCATATCTCTTTCCCAGTGGAAGTAACATGTTACTGATGTATTTTATAACTCATTACAAACTATATAATTTTTTTTTTTTTGGTACATAAAATCCAAAAGTTAGCTGGTTAAGACCTCAAACTCTTTTGTATAGGAATCAAAGGAAGGCACAAGAGTTAATGTATCAAGCATCACTATGACTGTCCATGCTGAAGTATATGGACCCTACTAAAGGTATTGACCTTTTACTAGTGTAATCTTTATTCATTTCTTTTTTATTTTTCTAGTGTGATAGTCACATAAAGGACTTATGTTCATGATTTTAATATTCTTTCTTTTAATTTTCTGTGAGCACTACTATTGAACCACATTTTTTTTTTTCTATTGCCTTTCTACTCTACTCTCTCTCATCATCACCGCTTTCTATCCTATCCCTCTATGAGCACTACTACCTTGCATTACTTTACACAGTAAAATGAATAGTTTGTTTTGGTTGCTTATTCTTCTATTATACTGAGATTGAGAGGTGTTATTAAACTGAATAATACTTCATCATTCATAAATTTTTGTTTAGAGTAACAAAGCACAACAATAAGAAATTTGTTCAAACAAACGATGTTTTAAGGTTGGGCTTAACCTTCAAGCCCCACAACACCTTCCAGAAATTGGCATCCAATGTGCAACTACTAGTTTCACCGCCTCTAGAGTTAGAACTAAGTTTAGCCGATTCCTACAATTCCATTGCCAAATGATAACCCACCCGCAATTTTTAAACAAAATTATAGTCTCCAAAGATTATGCTTGATATGGATCTAGGTCATCACTAATTATTTAGAATTTTTCAATGGTAATAGGGAGACAATTTGGTCTCTAAACCTCTTATACATGTAGACCATTTAGAATTTTGAAATGGATCTGGGTCCTCATTAATTGCAGGATGACAATAGAATGATCGACATTAATTCAAACAGACATCTTATACATTATAACTTAAACAGATTGATGTGTCATTGAAATTCTGGAATGCCCTAGTCTAGAAGAAATGTTACAAAAAGTAATTTTACTTCCATTGACTCATTTATTTTTCCTACACTTATAGTTCTCTCATTTGTTTTTTGATTTATAGTATGGAAATGCAAGAGCTTCACCTCAAGCCACTCCTAATATTCAGCCAATTGAAAATTTAGAAGGATCAAAATGTGAATTATTACATTGGAGTGAACCAAATGTAGTTGTTATTGAAGATATTGATTCTACGTACAAAAAACCATGTGTG